TATAGCTGGCGGAAACGATAGTCGCCATTTGTGGCGACCAATTGGTTAGTCCCATGTGCGGTCAGCTATTTTCTATCATTTACTCCCAAGATACATACACCTTAAGATAGGATGATGCGCATGTTGGGCGGGGCTTAAATATGTCACTTGATGAGTGTTTTTAAATCTCTAACGTGCTTTTTAATTATCTGCTGCTAAAATTCTTGTTTTTGCGATAGGTACTGTTGGATGTTAACTTGCTCTATTTTTTGTTTAACTTGTTGTTTTTGTGTTCGGTAAGGTTAGAATTACTTTTCAGTATTCAAATTATTGTTATTGCGTTAAGTTAACCTGTTCTGTTTGTTTATTATTGTTTTTGTGTTGCGTTAACTTGTTTTGTTTGTGTTTTAGTTTGTGTCGTGCCATTTGCATTTATTAAAATGCGGTGTGGCATATTTGAATGCAATTCGGACAACCAGTCCAAGAAAAACTCTTTAAATAAAAACATTAAATTTAATTGATTCCCGAAAAAGTTTGATTTGTGAAAACAGTGTTTAAATACCACAAAAAGAATAGACAATATTAAAGTTAAGGTCACTTCTGTTTCCTATAAACATTTTCTGGACAGTGACTATAAGTTTAATTTAAAACACCTTAACACTTAACACTTAACAGCCCTAAATGTTATCAAGGACTAAAAGCATCTATTATCCATATTATAACACTTTCTTCAATATTAAGTTTAATAAAAACGCACTATGTCCAGATATTTTTATATTTTCTTTGATAATATTACTATTATTCGTGTATTCTCACGGCAACTACTCATCAAGTGACGTCATGCGCGGGACGAACCAAAACTCGTACACGGGAGCATCCAACAAGGATTTACTCCTTACTGAGGTTTTTTATTCAAAGACAAAGACGGAATTTTTAGGGCATGCGTAGTTGTGCGCTGGATATCCTACAAATTATACGTATTTTTTTTCGCACGAGGATAATTGTAATGAACGAGTGCGAGGAAACGTCTTATAAGATGAGTTCTTTCTAATATTTTTTCTATTTGCCAAATTTTTTAGAATAATGTCGAACAAGTGACAGCATAAAAAGACAACCCGCTGTGCACACATAATTCTCTGTTTTGATTGGCCGGACGCAAGAAACGGAACGGAAAAGCAAGTTGACCAACCCTTCCGTTCCGTTTCCGTTAAGTTTGCGTTTACGTTCATTTATAAATATGAGTACATAAATTCTATAGTTGATCTTTTTGCAGTGCGTCTATGTTACGTCTACGTTACGTCTACGTCCAACTATAAATCCAGTGAAAACTTCTTTAGGCGCGTTAAGCACATTTTTTCTTGGCAATGAACAAGATTAGCCGTAATATTTTTTTAAGGGGTGGGAAATTTTTTTAGGGGAAGAAACAAGTTTAAAGGGGGTGAACATTTTTTTAGGGGATGGAACAATTTTTGGAGGTGAAATTTTTTTAGAGGGTGGAAAAATGTTCAAATCGAAACTGCGTTGCAATATATAAAGTCATTTTTTTAAGTTTAATATATATTATTCTCTGTCCTTACACGTGTTCTAATGTTGAATTTTTTAAAAATGGTATTGATAATATCGAAGATAAGCAGTAACTTTAGTAATTCGATTTCTTATCATTATATCAAAAAAAAATTCATACGCCTATTTTAATTATTCTTTGTTTTATAATGTTTCAGGACTGCAACATGTCTTTGGAAGACTTCCTAAAAGACAAGACACTATTAAACGTTTTATGGAAGAAAAGGTGATTACCTTAATTACGTTAAAAAAGTTCGGTACATGGACTAAACCAATAGTCCAGTAAGTTCGTCGGTAATAGAAGGTCTTTTCCACATTTTGGGCAACATGCTATTTTTTTATCGAGTAGTGTTCCCCAAAACCATTAAATCTGAGTTTTCGGATGAAACCAAGTAGAGCTTACCCCACCATGTTAAATCCATCAAATCACAGGGGTAGTTTTTTAAAATATCTATTGATAATATTATAAAATAAAGTTCAAATAGGAAAAAAAGTTGTATTTAAAAGTTTTTTGTAATATCAATAGATACACAGATATTAAAAAACTACCCCTTTGATTTAACATGACGGGGTAAGCTCCACTCGGTTTCTTCCGAAAACTCAGATTTAACGGTCTTGGGGACCCTCTTAATTATAAAAAATTAGCGTGTTATCCAAAATGTGAGATAATTTGACGGATTTACTGGACTATAAACAAATAGTATAAACCATTTCTTTATTGGGAAAGCATACTAATATGTTCTTTAATATTCCCTTTTGGATTAATGATAATATTAATTACAGATTGATTGTGAAGTGGTATGCGCTATGTCAGACGAAGATTTGAAAACTTTTATCCCAACTTATGGAGATAGACTGGCGGTAAAAAATTTTGCGAAAAGAAAAGTTGCTTGTCCAAAACAGAGCCTTATTGAAAAGTTAAAGGCAAAAATGGAGGAAAAGGGTGAAGGTCCCCCTCGTAAAACAGGAAAAACCACCAAAAAGGGCAGTAAGCAGACCCGCATAATAGAAATTGGGTGGCTTTCTATGTGCAAAAACGAAAATTGTTATAGGCAAGTAAGAACACGAAATGGAGGTGGTACTAGACGTGTAAGCATCGATAAGACTAGTCGGTGTTCGCAAGTTATGGATGTTGCAAAAACTTTTTTTTTTCCAAACGGCGTATCTCCTAAAGGTGCAATAACCGATTTTGAAGTGGAACTGATGGATTATAAAAGTCATAGTTTTGATCAAACATTAACCATTGAAAAAATGTATGAGTTGTCTGGTTTGACAACTTTGCGATTTTATTTAGCCACAAACCGCAAAAATGGGGACGACGACGAAGATGATGATTTCATACCAGCAACTCAGGTTTCTACCCCAATAAGACTATAGTCGGTGTTCGCAAGTTCTGGATGTTGCAAAAACTTTTTTTTTTCCAAACGGCGTATCTCCTAAAGGTGCAATAACCGATTTTGAAGTGGAACTGATGGATTATAAAAGTCATAGTTTTGATCAAACATTAACCATTGAAAAAATGTATGAGTTGTCTGGTTTGACAACTTTGCGATTTTATTTAGCCACAAACCGCAAAAATGGGGACGACGACGAAGATGATGATTTCATACCAGCAACTCAGGTTTCTACCCCAATAAGTTCCCAATTAAGCGAGAGATCTTGCGACAACGATGAAACTGATATTGACTTAATGGCAGCAACTTCGGTTTCGATCCGAAGAAGTTTCAGATTACGCGAGAGATCATCTCGGTCAGGGATTCCAACATCAGCAGACAACTTAGATGGAGATATTGCAATAAACGAATCCACAAGGGTGGAATTACATAGCGAAGAATCTGTTGGTACCTATTTAAACAATTTTGATCCATTGTTAGATGTAAGTACACTTTTTAATATAGTTATAAACCATATGTTAAGAGTGATGATTGGTTTTGGCCATGTAATAGTACAAAATCCGTCCTTATAATATATGGACGGATTTTGTACGCTTACATATTAATATTAATATTATTATAGAAGCAACAAGTAAATTACGCGATAATTTTTAGGAAAACGATTTTCATTCGACTTTTTTGGATATGTTTGATGAAAATGGGACATCGCCATTTAAAGAACACGCGCAGATTATTACCATTCATCGTGGCCAGGTGTTGAAAGATTTAATGGAAGCAGCGGCTGAGGGCTTGAGTCGACAATTAACAATTCAAATGATCTTACCTAATGGGCAAATTGAAGCTGCTGAAGATTTGGGTGGAGTCCTCAGAGACACACTTTCCGAGTTTTGGACAGAGTTTTATGAAAAATGTACCATCGGTGCTAGTGTCAAAGTCCCGTACATTCGTCACGATTTTGGTGAAAAGCAATGGTCTTCCATAGGGGAGGTTTTAATAAAAGGATTTGAAATTGTCAAATACTTTCCAATACAGTTATCGGCAGTATTTATAAAAGCTTGTCTCGGTTTATCTGTAGAGGACAATGAGCTTGAAAGTAACTTTTTTGAATTTATATGTGAGTCTCATAAAGATTTATTAAGAGGAGCCCTTGATAATTTTGAAAGTGTGGATTTGGATGAGCTGATTGAATTTTTTAATTCATATGAGGGCAAGTGGCTACCAACTAAAAATAATATTAAGACACTTATTAGAGACATTGCTCACAAAGAGTTGATACAAAAGCCTTCTTTTGTAGTAAAATGCTTTAATAAACGTTTACAAAATTCAAGTTCTATTAATTTTGAGGAAATTTATGATCTGTACACGACATTAAAGCCAACTGTAAAAAACTGCCTGTTAAAAATATCTACTGAGGTTGAAGAGTTATTATTATCCACCGAAGAGCGACTCGTTTTTTCTTATGTGAAAAAATACCTAAGGGAGACTGATAACAAAATGAGGCAGGCCTTTTTTAGATTTTGTACAGGATCGGACCTACCTCTAATGAACATTTTAATAGCATTTACCAAAGAAACCGGTGTACAAAGAAGACCTATAGCTCATACATGCTCTGGGTTACTACAACTCCCTTCGACGTATGAGAACTATGTAGATTTCAGAAGTGAAATAAATGCCATTCTTAATTCAAATATTTGGGTTATGGATATGGTTTAATGGTGAATTAATATTAAAGCCAAAAGCCGAAAGCCGAGTTTTATTATTATGTTTGTTATAAAAATTGTTTTTTAGATTTTTGGTTTAAATACTTATATATAATTTGTTTTGTTGCTTTTTATTTTTTTAATAAAACTATTCAACATAAGTTTATTTATTTGTATGTTGGGTTTACCAGTAGGTGACTACAAAAGTATCTAGACGGTCATCCACACATTAAATGTCAAATGACAACAATTGTTTATGGTATTAAAAATAAGAGGTATTTTCTCAGTTATGTTTTAATGATATCAATACATAAATTTACAAATACAATGAGTTTCATAAATAAATTCATGATTAATATTAAATTCACTGAAATAAGGGAATTAACTTATTTTTAAGATCTACATATAAGTTTATAGTTAAATAGGGATCAGAGCATCTCGTTAAATTATTTTCTTCCATTAAAATGCAACATAGATCATAAAAATCATTATCGCATGGTGTCTGAATGAATGTGCATTCTAATGAAAGTTGCTCAATCGCAAACGGTGGAGTATTTATAAGGTAATCGTTCGCTCCATACAAAGATGGCATCTCATACATTATAGTTGGTCTTCCTGCTGGAGCAATTGCGTTTCTTGTTTTTCTGATTCTATGAATATTCCACTCCAAGCAAACTTGGTCAAGTTCCTCCTGGAAAAAACACACAAATGAAAGTTTATTTATGGACCTGCTTCACAAGTTTACCTGTATTAAAGGCAAAAAACAAAACTGAATCAGTGATTTATCCAAAAATGAACCATCAAACGTATTATCCTCCTTTAATATTTGGAATATATTCATCCAATACTGTGCATTATGTTTGCGTAACATTGACCACCAGGCTTCTATGCGCTGATTGTGCATACTCTTTCCATACAGAAAACAAGGCCTACTTGTTGGAGATTCATTAAATACTTCATGCAAGGTTTTTTGAATCTTCTCCATTGTTCCATTTTCGGTGCCCATATCGCATCTTATGGTTTTAGGACAACCGCCTATTAATTTTACTCCCTTTAAGAAATACCCTGCGATAACCTAACAAATGTTTTATTAAAAAATACATGCATTGTCTATGTAATAAAAAGTTTCATACCTTAGGATCACTTGCAGTTGGTCCCGCCCTTAACCAAATTATATGTCTCGAAAACCCATCTATGCAACCGTTTATACATACGCCATACTGCTTTAACTTATCGTAAGAATCTACATGCCATAGATAATTTGGGCCCTTATTGTCATACTGTCTACGGCGAAGTCTTCCTTTTCGACGTAGTTCCACTCCTCGAGAATCCAGTAGACCTAGTAGATCCCTAACAACCTCCTGAGTAACAACCAACTTATTATGCAAGCAACGCAAATGCATCCACTTATACCCATGAAGTTGACCTGATTTATTGAGTTCATTTTCTAAAAACTTTGCCACGTCCTCTATCTTTGAATAATCTTTACGCCTAAATAGCTTTAACCTACTTAATAGCCTCTTTAATGTTCTATGGGACATTGTCTTTCCATGCAAAATTTGTAAAAATGCAAGTATTTCTTTTTGTTGAAAACCCAAGGAGAAATATTTAATCACCAGTCTATCGGTGCTATCAATCTAAAAAACTTACCATTAAATGATGTAACATTATTCTACCTAAATTTTATTTGGTTTGGTTAATGCAGGCAAAATTAATTCACTTTATTGTCAGCTGTTTAATAATACATATAGATGAAAAAAATTGATATTTACCTACCTCTTCATCACTCTCCATGGTTTAGTTAAGATCTTTAGTAATCACTTTTTATATAGATCACGCGCCTCCATACACGACCCTAACTTTCGATAGAACGATCGTCCCCTTTTATATGTATATAAGTGAGCATGCCGAATTCTAATAGGCAATTCCGAGTTATAAGTCGGAATTCCGAGTTATAAGTCGGAATTCCGAGTTATAAGTCGGAATTCCGAGTTATAAGTCGGAATTCCGAGTTATACCTCGGAATTCCGAGTTATAAGTAGGAATTCCGACTTATAACTCGGAATTCCGACTTATAACTCGGAATTCCGACTTATAACTCGGAATTCCGACTTATAACTCAGAATTCCGACTTATAACTCGGAATTCCGACTTATAACTCGGAATTCCGACTTATAACTCGGAATTCCGAGTTATAAGTAGGAATTCCGAGTTATAAGTCGGAATTCCAAATTATAAGTCGTAACGTATATTTAAAAAAAAAGTGTGGCCCTTCTACGCTTCCGTACTTATATTTGTATTTTCTTTTTGTTATTTTGTGTAAAAAATTTAATAAATCCACTAAAGATACTAAAGAAGAAAATGTCAAAATTTACTAAAGTTTGATAATTTAAAAACAAAAGCTCAATTAAAAAATATTTATTAGGTAGCCTAATTTAGGTTGTCAATTTTTAGTAGAATTTATAACATTGATGTTTTACTTTTTAATTTTTTTTTAATAACCTGGTAATAACACAAAACACATTGAACACTTATTTATAACACTTTTTTAATATCTAAAATATATTATTTTTAAAATAGTAAAACTAACAGAAAAATTATTACGATTATAAGTGTACAAAAATGATCATCGTTTTTCTGCCTTTAAATCTGCATCTGCATAAATAATTTAAAAAATACATTGACACAATTACTTATGGACAAAACAATGTTCTCTTATAACAAATCGGCCGTCATAATTGTAAATTTCATAAAACTCGAACTCGCGCCTCAAAATTATAATATAATAACATTTAAACGAGTGAACAACTGTCTCTAGCATGACGCCACACGGAGCGAGAGAGACAGCGCTACCATTCGCAACAACAAACCCTGTTTGAATTTAATTCAAATATTAAAATCATAGGCGAGACGTTGCCAAATTGTGGCTCAACGCCTTAATGGTCTTGGAATCAATGTACCATTTTGACCAGCAACACAAATAGGTTATGTAACCTTAAAAATTTTAGCTTTATATAAATTCCTCTTATCCTTTGTAAAAGGACCAATCGAGGAATATTATCGTGCAACAGGAATATTTCTATTCCAGGAATCCAATTTTGTCCCTCCTAGGTCGAAGAGTCACCTATAGCACCAACAAAATCGAACTATTTTAATATATATAAAAATTTTAAAATAGAAACCTTTTAAAAGATGTTGAAGAACGGTAAATGCCTAAACCAGACCAAATTTTAAAATTTGCCTGTACATAAAAAGCTATATATATATATATATACAGTGTGTCGCATTTAAGATGAAGACACCCCCATATTTTCGCTATTTCAAGGAATAGAGATTTGAATTTTTTCACATTCATACATGTTGGTGGGTCACATTTTTTAAGATACTCAACTGAAATCTGAACTTTAAACTTGGCCTACTACAAATTCACAAACGGGGCCAGTTGTCGATATTTTGCTTCGCGTTAGAAATATCGAAAAAAAATATTAGAAAAAGTTGTTCAGAATATTATTCTAACCTCGTATACCGATTTTCATAGCAAAATTCGAATTTCTTATTTATTTATTTTTATTAGTTTTATTATTGTTTTATACCATTTCCTTAATTTAATAAATTATAATTGATTTGTCATTTCGAAAAATTGTTTTAATTATTTATTTAACGGTCATAAACACTAGTTAGTATCAAATTATTACTTTCCATGGTTCCCTTATTATCAAACTAAAAAATGAACTTGTAATAATTTTGTGTGGACCAAAATAAAAAAAAAAAAAATGCGAATTTTGTTATAAAAATTGGTAAATGGGGTTAGAATAATATTCTGAACAACTTTTTCCAATAAATTTTTTCGATATCTCTAACGCGAAGCAAAATATCGAGAACTGGCCCTGTTTGTGAATTTGTAGTAGGCCAAGTTTAAAGTTCAGATTTCAGTTGAGTAGCTTAAAAAATGTGACCCATCAACAGTATGAATGTGAAAAAATTCAAACCTTTATTCCTTCAAATAGCGAAAATATGGGGGTGTCTTCATCTTAAGTGCGACACACTGTATATAATGATACCCTAAAAAAATTTTTGTTTGCCCAAAATAGACTTTGGGCGTGACACCCAGCAGTTTTTCCCGTATAAGGGCCCCTACTAGATTTTTGATACAGGGCCCCCTCGAGGCTAGCTACGCCACTGGTCCATTCCCTGACGCTTTTCGGCATTACCGATATCGGCCGCATTTTGGCCGACATTCACAGCAATATGCCAAACTAAAAGTTTTGACCGGGTATTTCTGTAAGCACGCAACACATTTGTCTATCGGTGTACAACCAGGATTTTATTTAAATAATTTAAATTTAATTAAGTGATTTTAATTTGTTTTAAATCAAAATAAACGAAATAACAAATAAACAGCATTTTCCAAATCTTTTAATAGTTTAAATTCAATATTTTGGATGGCCCATCGTACAGCGCATGCTCCCGCGAATTGCGTTTTACTTTATTCAGAGTTCGTATTTTTTCCACGATCTTTCATTAATTTACAATGAAAAGAAAAACAAGATCGTCTTCAAATCCATTTTGCACCTATTGTCGCCAACCTACAGATAGGTATGAATTTAAAAACGAAGGCTGCTTTAGCAAATCCGTAGAAGAGACCAGAGCAATAATTCATTTGGGGCATCTACTACATGTGGATTTGGAAGATTTGCCATCTTTTAAGGTACTTAAGTTAAATTTTTAAAATAGTAGGCATATAAATTTGCTTTTAGATTAGCAACTTTACGATTTACGATCAAAATGGCCATTATTGCACTTTTGATGAGGGTCTTATTGAAAGAGGTGTCAAACTTTTTGCTTCAGGGTTCATTAAAAATATTCAGGATAATGATCCTAGCACAAACACAGGTGTACCTTCACATGATATTGGACCCATAGATGAATGGTAAATATACCACATTTAAAATCTAAATACAATTTTTTTTTTTTTTTAATTTAGGTTCACAGCTGGTTTTGATGGTGGTGCAAATATTTTAGTTGGATTTCAAACAAAAATAGCAGGGTATTATTTGATGAAGCCCAATTATAGATATAAAGATCCTTACAGTCCTTTTTTTAAAAAAGTTGAACTAAGCAAGGTAATTCTGGATTACTTAATAATAAAGGAGTGGGAGAACCCTTCTTACAAGCTTCTTATGCAACACCTTGCACTTAATCACTGTGTGGAAGAGGATTATGTATTAAAAAATGCACATTTTGTTATAAATCAGGTATTTTCATTTAATAACCAAAAATATAAATAATAAATCAATATTAATAAACAATAAAATAAATAATAAATTAAATAATTATGTTAATTTTTCAGATAAAAGAATATGACAAGTCCTCAAGAACTGAAGATCAAATGTTGATTTCTCTTGCTTGTGTCAGAAGGCTAATATGGTTGTCGAAATATTCAATCAGGAAAATACCTAGACTAAAATATGGATATAAACCTCCAGTAAGCATATATTTTCTTAAACATTTTTTTTATTAAAAAATAGTTCCCCATTTTTTTTTATTTGGGTTATTCATGTACAGGGTGATCCCCTATAATGTCGCCCCCCCTTTAACTTTTAATTTTAAGTGTTTAAGTTTTTTTCTACATATAAAAAAATTGGAAAATTGATCAGTATACAGGAAAAAAACAAAAAGTTTATTTTTTTTCAATGGATCACCCTATATATGAATTTATTTTTAGATTCCTTGTAAAATTCTAAGCATAATTCATATAACATACCAAATACCTAAATTCAACCGTTTTTGAAATATTTCAATTATTTTTAAGATAATGAGTTAAAATAATAGTTTGTCTTTCTCTGTCTGAGAACGCCATTTTTACTTACTTAACAAGACATATTGACAAAATGTTACTATAGTTATTTATTTTTAATAAACATTTTGCTATACTGAAGCTTCTTGATTTGTAACAGTTTAAAAAAATATTTGATGATAACGGTTTAAATGCGAATATTTCAGAAACGGTTGAATTTAGGTATATGGTTTGTTATATGAATTATGCTTAGAATTTTACAAGGAATCGAAAAATAAATTCATATATATGGAGATCTATTGAGAAAAACTAAACTTTTTTTTCCTGTATTGTCTGTATTTTAGTCCCTACATAACCACACATTAATATTTTTTGGGACACTTAAAATAAAAAGTTAAAGAGGGACGACATTATAGGGGATCACCCTGTACAGTTTTTCTTTGGTGAATTTATGTCTACTTTTTTAAATAAACACAACTTTTTTCATTAGCCTGTCTATTTTTAGATTATTTAATTTAACATTTTTATGGACCCAATTACATATTTGCCTTCTAATATTAGATTATCTTTTATAATAATACTTTGAATAATAATAAAACAGGTTATTAAGAAATTTATGAGAAATTTGTTTATTAATTAATTAAAAATGGTAGTCATTGCCTCAGCAGTAAAAACGTATTGTAAGCGCATACTTGGAAGTATGTGACCGTGAGCGTACACAGCGTCGTCTATCTGCTTCCATCAAAAATAACTTCTTACACAAACATTTAAGACAAATTATAGAAAATATCAGATTAAGTATATTTTATAATAAAACTTTTAATATTAATAAAAACCTGTTATTAAGAAATTTATAAGAAACTGGTATTTTATTTTATTAAAATACAAGGTATAGGAAAACCTTTCCCAAAATTAGGGGGCGTTAGTGTTGTTTGTTGTTTTGTTTGTACCGAAACGGTGGAGGGGTATATTTCAGAACAAAATGGAAATTAGCGCCGCTAGTGGTGAAAAAGAAAACGTAATTTGTGCAATTTAGTAGACAGGTTCGGTCAATTCCCTCTTTTGAGTTCGTACTGCATGTGTAGACTCCATGGTTAAAACTATGAGCGTACACAGCGCCCTCTATCTGCTACCACCTCTTTAAAGTTTAGATATTATCTTCTGCACAAAGATGTAGTGGACGCTCTAAACATTGACCGATCAAAATATTTTTTTTTATATTTTGGTAATAATACACCACTTTTTTCAATATTCTCCCATTGCTTTTGGACCACTCTGTTTATAATAACTAATCTCAATGTTTTTTTCTAGGATAATATTCATAAAAAGACATTTAACGCAACAACAACAAAGCTGGTTTATAATTTGTTTGAAAAATTATTTAAAAATATAAAACTCAAGGATAAAAATGAATCATGTGGAGTTTGTAGAAGGTGTCAACGTATAGATTGTGGTGAATGTAAAAATTGCAAGACTATGAAAAAGTTTGGAGGCACGGGAAAAGAAAATGTGAGATGTAAAAGAAAAATGTATGTTTTTTTTTCATACACAATTTTGTGCTTATGTCATTTTTTATTTTTTTTTAGATGTATGGCAGTCGTTATTTCTGATAGTAGTGATAGTTCCTCATCATCAGATGATTCTTTTACTAGTACTGACCCAGACTACTATTACAGAAAACCCAATTTATTTTCTTACAAAATTATTCACAAAGTTGAATTTTTAGAACCACCTTTAATCCATAAAAATAAATCGTATTATTCTGCTGTACAAGTTGGTAAGGAACTTTAAATAATTATACATAGTTTAGAATGTTACATTAACATGTATTTAGCAAAGAAATCTTTCTTATTAAAAAATATATTTTAAAGCCTAATCTTAGGGTTGCCAGTGCCACTAGGGTTATCATCAAATAGTTATTATAGTATCAATGAGCTTTCACCAATAATAGTTAGTTTTGACCTAATTATTCTATTTATGCACTTTTTTCATTGTGTTCTGTTAAAAATTTCGTATCATATATGGTACGAACTTTTTAACAAGACACAACAATGTATACATTGTTTAAAATATCAAAACGTTAGCATACAACAAATTCTGTATTAAGCAAATATTTATGTTTGGCCAACAAATGTTTATCGTAAAAACTAATTTGCAAATAATGATAGCTTGTTGCATGCGCAGTGTACTACAGTTACTGTAGTACACTGCGCATGCGAGAAGTTAACTGTAAGCGGTGCACCGCGGTGTTAATAGATTAAATAACTGCGCATTAGGGTGAAGTAAAAATACTGGGTTTAAATTTTTTTGTTAAAATTCTTTTTGAAATAGCAATGAAAAGTTGCTTTTCGTACCAATGTTCATAAGATATCATTTTCCACCCGTAAAAATTTTTTGAAGTCTCTTTTTTTTAAACACTTATTCATTAAAATGTTTTTTATTATTTTTATACTTAAAATACCTACTCGTTTATAAATGGTCTGGCGCCTCCAAGGCCATAGCTAGAAAACGTTTTGGGGTGGTATTAGTTGACAAAAAACTGATGCTACAAAATACAGACTCAGTATACAAGGCCTTTCACTAAATGGATTTTAAACTCGCAAAAATAAGAAAAAGTTTATATAAGTAGATCAGGTAGTTTTAAAAAAATATTTTTTTTTTTTAAATTCCATAAACTCCCCGGCAGAATTTAATAAAACTATTCAGGTTTTTAGTAATGGATCCCAACTAGATATTTAAGAAAATTTGGGTACGATTTAATATTATTTTTAGATTAAGTAATTAAAAATAAATATTTCTTGTCTTCTGCATTTTTTCTTGTTTAATAATTGCCACGAGCGGATAAATAATTTTTTTTTCTTAATCTGATTGTAATACCAAAGTTTGCTGGCAGGTGACCTACGCGCAGGGTAAACACGCGCAGGTTTTTTTGTGCCAACGAGAACGACAGAGTAAGAAGATGCGCGTGCCCACCCTGTGCGTTGGTCACCGGTTGCCAATGTACCTAACTTGTAAAAAAAAGTAGTGGCGTGATCCTGTGTTTCGAAAACAAAGCTTTAAAGGCTTTAAGCATACAAGTTCATATAAAATTTTCTTCTTATTTTTGCGAGTTCTATTGACTATTTCAATATTGACTATTAAAATCTGAGACACAAACACAGGACCAAATTTATTTTTTCTGGCTGTCTTTGCTGCAAATATATTAAAATCCGTTCTTAACTTTAAATTTCTAAAGTTTCGGGGGCAGCGTCAAATTAAAAGATAGGCAGTAAACGAATCAATTTCAAAGTTGATTTACAGTTTTTTATTTCTAGGTACAATGATTATTGAACAGGGTTCATTTGTTGTATTAAATTCTGAAAAGGTAAATGAGGCTCAGTTAATCTGCAGAGTGGAGTATATTTTTAGAGGTGAATCCGATATGTTTCATGCTCAATTATTTGGAAGAGGTTTTGAGACTGTTCTTGGTGAAACCGCAGACCCTAGAGAACTTTTTGTATTTGATAAATGTTTTGATGTCCCTTTAGGTGCCATTGTATCATTAACTAATGTAAAAACTGTTAATTATTTGATTTTTAATATTTTCCAAAACTGTTTTTTTCAGGTTTCATATCAAAAAGCCCATTTAAATTGGAGTGATATTGGAGGTTTATACAGTGAGCCTACAAAATCCTATTGTAGTAGTTCATTTTATTTCTCAAAGAAATATGCCCATGAATTCTGTACCTTTTCTGATTATAAATACAGTCCTACAGATGATGTGTTGGGAGATTGCAGTTCTTGTAGGTAAGTTTTTATGAATAAAAACAAAATATTTAAAAAAAAACATTTATTGTTAAGATACAACAAGGCAGTTGATATAAAAAACACAATGAACTTTAAAAATGGAACAGTTACTTGGTTTAATGATGAATATAAAATAGGCACTTTTGTTCTGTATGTGCCAGAAGAAAAGCAAAAATCTTGCTTTGAAACGCGTTTAATAAAAAAAGAATGCAGATATAAAGAGTTTCAAAGTGAATATTACAGAAAAACAAACCGTTTAAAAGGATCAAACAGTGACACTGAAGCTACATTGGCCATTGGCTACATTAAAAATATTGTGAAAACAGAATCCAATCAAATTATTTTGACCATACACAAATTTATGCGAACTGATTCTATTTCCAGGGAAGTTGCCTATTTACAAGATTGGTATCATATATACATAACAGACGAAAGTAAGTTATAAATTAATGCAAGTATAAATTTTTTTATCATTTTATTTTTTAGTTTCGGAAATCAATTTTATGCAAGTGTATAATAAGTGCTATGTAGTTTACAGTGAGTCAGCCCAAAAATGGTGCTCAAAAGGGGACAATAGATTTTATTATTCTAAAATGTATTCTCCATCCACGTCAGATTTTATGGAAATACCCAACAATTTTGTCATATTAGAAAGTTCAGGTAACAGCTACTTTTTTTAATAGTGTTACAACTGTGTAAAAATTAAATTTGCTACTAATTAATAAAAATATTAATTTAACTTTTTCCTAAACTAGATTGTGTAAAAACTAAATCCAGGTTAAAAATAATTAATAATTTTGGTAAGATTGAATAAATGACATATTTTAATCAAAAATAGAGGGAACCATTAAAAGCCTTATTAAAAGTCCAGTCAATTGGTATAAAATGTATAACAATTGACTGGACTGGACTTTTATATAGGAAATTAATAATTATATTATATTTACATAAGTTATAAAATAAAAAAAACTATTTATCGTTAAATGTAATAAAAATTGACTTTTGGCCTTTATTACTTGCAATGTTTAAGTTTTGTGTTTTTGGGTTTTTTGTTAGTATCGCAGTACGGCTATGACACAAGTTGTGGATTACAAAATTATTTATTTAGCATTCTTAGTATCAGTATAGCCTTGGGTTCTAGTGAGGGAAGTCTTAAATCTACAAAATGTTTTAAATGGTTCGATAGAATGTGTAACATACATTTTGACAACAAAATTTTGGGATTAGTTATAGTAGACTGTATATTTTGAAAATATTTAGAAAATCTACTTTCATGCAAACATTCCTATTTATTATTTTCGCATTATAAAAAACTGTACAACTTCATGATTAATACTGTATTTAGAGTATTCTCCAAAACACCCAAAAATTGAAGAAAAGCTAAATTGTTTGGACCTATTTTCTGGAGCTGGGGGACTAAGTTTGGGTTTGAGCCAGGCCGGGCTAATAAATACCAAATGGGCAGTATGTTTAACTTAAATAAAAAGTAAACCGGTTTATTTAAAATAACGCTATTTTAGGTTGAGAAAGATCCAAACGCCTGTCATGCATTCCAATTAAACAACCCTGGTTGTACAACCTTTAATAATGATAGCAATTACATACTGTCCAAAGCAATGACTGCAAATAGAGAAAAACTTGGAATTCCAGACAAAAAAGTAGTTGATATTATTATTGGAGGCCCTCCTTGCCAGGGCTTTTGTTCCATGAATAGGTTTAACCAAAGAATGTACTCAAAATTAAAGAACTCCCTAGTGGTAAATCTACTAAGCTATGTAGATTATTATAGACCAAAATATTTTGTTTTTGAAAATGTGATGAGTTTTACCTCTTACATGAGAGGCATTGTTTTAAAGTTGTTTTTGAAATGTCTCTTGGATATGGATTATCAGGTTACTTGTGGTGTTCTTCAAGCAGGTCATTATGGTGTCCCACAAAATAGAAAAAGGTTCATTCTTATTGCAGCCGCCCCTGGTTATAAATTACCTAAACTGCCAGTACCAAGGCATGTATTTGATAAGAGGGCTACACATCTTTCCTTTAATGTCGATAACGTTAGATACCAAAATAGTAAGTAACTTTGAGCTTCATAATTTTAATTAATGCACACTGTACAGTGTAAACGTGTAATAAATAAGGAGTAAAAAATACCTTGATACTCTTTATTTTTAAGTCTGCTAATTCATGTTATAATTACGCGTTAAAGTCTGAATTCAGTAAACGTACCAACGGTATGTAGCAATAGAAATTTGTGGCATTTAAATAAAAACAACGATTCTCCAAAACAGGCACCGACATAATTTTTCCCAGTAAGGACATACACATTTATTGGTTATTTTTTATTTAAACATATCTCGGGTTAAACGAAATTTTAATTTCATAACAAAACTTGCTAGATTGCTGAAAAATCCACGCGTTGCTGCGTTTCCGAAACAACCCAGATAACAATTATGACATCATTTAAGGCATCAACGTGAAATCATTGCTGATTTATTCAGTGATGTCACTGAGGTACGCATATGTGTTCCCCTTTTGATGAGCAACATGATATCCTTAATGAGTCACACGATGAATTCGTTGTGACATCAACGTGAAATCATTGCTGATTCATTCAGTGATGTCACTGTGGCACGCATAAGTGTTGCACTTTTGATGAGCACCGTGAGATCCTTAATGAGTCACACGATGAATTCATTATGAAATCAAAGGGATTTTATTAATGATTTTACTTAAGGGACTAAAAATGCTAAAATTAATTAAAATAAATATTTATTTTCTTAAATAAAATATAAAATATTTAAAACATGTTTTTAATAAAATTTAAAAAAGTAACTTGCATCTGATTATAATTTTTATAAATGTATATACCTAGCAGGTGCTAAGTATAATTCATAAATTAATTACAAAAATATATTTAAAAATACAAGAAAAAAGTACTCGAGTAAAAGTACAAGTAGGTACTTTGAAAAAAATGTATTTGAGTACAAAGTACAAAAAAATCCAAAAGTACTCACGAGTACAAAGTACAAAGTACTTTTTCCAAAAACTCTTAAAATGTAATTTAGGTTTCAGTATCAAGCAAAAAAAGTTGTTAAAACATAACAAAATATCAGGTTTAGGTCACTTAGGGATATTTAAAAAAAAACTGTATTTTTATATTTCTTTAATACACGTACCTACTTATTTATGTTTTGAATATTTTTTTCCAAATAACCAATTATTTCGATTTTAAACAGAAAAAAATAATATTAAAATAGATTAACTATTCATTATTACCTATAGGTATACCTATTCATGCAAGTAATTTATTATATATTTTATTTAATAAATAGCCTAAAGGCCTTATTACAGCCGGCAATTCTTTCGGCAATTGCAATGAAAATTGCCGAAGGCATGCGCGGTAGAGACATTTTGACGAATCTCTTGCAATTGCTGAAAATCGGTCCGGATGGATTTTTGTTGCCGTTTTACGGAAATTCTGGGGTGAAATCTGGTAACTTTTATGTTAACAACCCTACTACAAATTCCCTAGAGACCCGGACAACATTCGTGATATTCATACGAACATCATGTCGTGATTTTCACAAATTTTATTCATACTGATATCATACGGAAGTCACCGCGTGATAAATGAAAATCATACGAACGTCACGTCGTGATTGTCACAAATTTTATTCATACGGACATCATCCGGATGTCACTGCATGAGAAATGAAAATCATGTCGTTATTTTTTATGCCATCGCCGTTTGCCATTTATGGTACAAAAAATCATGTCGTGATTTTATATGCCAACGGTGTTTGGATAATCATTTTTGCGCCACGTTCGTACACTAAGAGAAAAATTATGTTGAATCAACAGTTTTGCGGTTAAATACATTTAATATTTTCTTGGATTTAAATTAACTATTAATTTAAATCGAAAAAAATATTGAATATATTTAACCACAAAAACTGTTGATTCAATATACATATATGTAGGTATACTTTTTCTCTCAATGTACGAATGTGCCGTAAAAATAAATATCCAAACACCGATGGCATAAAAAATCACAACATGATTTTTGAAAGAAAAAGCTTTAGTATGTTAACAATTGAGTCAACAGTTTAACATTCAATATTTTCTTGGATTTAAATTAATTATACATGGTTAGTTTAAATCCAAGAAAATATTAAATGTATTTAACCGCAAAAACTGTTGATTCAACATAATTTTTCTCTTACTGTACGAACGTGGCGCAAAAATGATTATCCAAACACCGTTGGCATAAAAAATCACGACATGATTTTTTGTTCCATCGGTCAATCGCAAACAGCGATGCCATACAAAATCACGACATGATTTTCATTTCTCATGCAGTGACATCCGGATGATGTCCGTATGAATAAAATTTGTGAAAATCACGACGTGACGTTCATATTACGCGGTGAATTCCGTATGATATCAGCATAAATAAAATTTGTGAAAATCACGACGTGATGTTCATATGAATCGAGGGGTCACCCACACCTGGGAATCCCTGGACATTTTAGAGGGGGAATACCATAGGAATACAATAAAATATAATGGGAATCCCTGGACGTTTTCCCTTTGGGTGGTTGACCCCTCGGTATGAATATCACGAAAATTCGCAGTTCGCAGGGCTCATACGCATGCGCAAATTTTGCAAATATCACACCGTGAGTTCTGCATGATATCACTGTGATGAAGCATGTGTATGCACTTAGGATATCACAGCGTGATAAAAAAAATCACGTTGTGATATCATCATGACTTCACCAGGAAATCCCGATTGTTGTCCGGGGAGACGCTGTTTGTAATCAAATACAAAATAATATCTAAAATCCCACTTACCCCAGTATAACAAAAACCAAAACCCTTAAAATAATACTAATGCACATTCTGTATTGCAGAATAATCTCAATTTCTTAAAAAAAAAAACGTTACATATGACATTAGGACGGCACTACCAGAGATAAAAAAGGGCACTACCTCTTGTAATATGTAATATCTCTATAAAGTAGGGCACCACAATGATATTTTACCAACTTGCCCATATCGAGGATTTATTCCGAATATTGCCGAACTATAGTTCTTTATGAGATCATTTGTGAAATTAATTTCACAAATGATCTCATCAAGAACTCAGGATGAGCTCAGCAATGATTCAGCTAATGAGCTCCAGGTGATTTCACAGAAATGCATTTGATGTCATAGTGAGTTCACTGTGAGCTCACGCGATGATTATCACTGAGTGATTTTTTAATGAGTCATAAATGTTATCTGGGAACCATTTCGACCAGATTTTCTTACACTGTTCAAAATTTAATGACCATTTTAACACCAAATTAACACCATACATGGTCTATATCGATACAAACCAAAATGGTGTTAAATATGGTTTGTTGGTCCGGTGTAAATTCAAATACTAAAATAGTGTAAATTTAACTTTCACACTGCATTAAAATAAATTTTACCTGGTGTAAATTGAAATCCTTTTCAGTGTTAAATATTATGTGTTTTTGGTCAAATTAAATCATACTACACAGAAAAAAAGTAAAAAAAGAAAACAGGAAGTTCCTTGACGCATTACTAACTAGTATATTACCAGTGGTATTATTCCAGAAAATTGAACATTCAACTCGCTAGAGATAATGTTTTTAGTGCGTTCCACCAACCTCAAGTATTGAGTCAATACTATTGACAGCTATTTCCACCTATTTAAGGTCTCTTTAGTATCGAACAAGTTGTAATGTCACACCAAAGCAAAGGACTACCTGAGCTTATATGCTCTTCATGTAAGTCAACAGAGGCGATATTTAGGAACATCACGTAATCCACACCACCTTTGCCGCGGTCGGTACACACTATGCAACCGGGAATGCACGGCAAATTGTTTTAATCGTTTTAACAGAGTACTTTAGGTTGAAGTAACTCTTATTTTAGGGTCCGAGGATGGCGCAGTGGATTAGGCTACAAAGCTGTGCAATCTGCGTCTAACGGTACCGGGTTCGATTCCCGGTCACAGCCCTGGGTGTTGTGATTGTTTATTAAGACAAAAATACATATAATGTGCTGGCAAAATAGGCTGAAAAAGCCTAAAAGCCAATAAAACTTAAAAAAAAAAAAAAACTCTTATTTTACAAACAACATATTTAGTAAACTGAATCATACAGCGGGTTGGTTTCACTAAAGTTTTCTGGGTTAATTTAACCAATTTAAAAAAAATAAAATAACTATCTGGTTTAGTACCGTCAAACTAATCTTTGTTTATATTAACCTTCCCACAGTTGATAAAAATAAAAAAAATACAAAAATAAATACTTATGGGTCAACTAAATTAATATAGTTAAATGAACTATTCTTTTTTTTCTGTGTAGGTGCACTTCTCAAATATTTTTAGATAAACACCGTTTTGGTGTTTGCTGTATATAACATTTTCAACCATAATTCATGGTGTTTATATTAACACCACTTGGTGTTGGATTTTGACACCATTTTAAGATTACTCTTTACACCACAGATATTTTAAACAGTGTAACTCTGGGCGCTACATTTAAACAACTTTGTTTTACAAAAAATAACACTTTTTCAGATTTCTTGATGCTCCAGAACAATGTTTTTAAGAAAATTAATTTATTAAATATTTTTAGTTTTTTTTTAAACTGTTATAAAAAACAATCATAAAAACTAGTTTTTTTAAGTTCCAGCAATCCATTACTTTTTATTATGAACTATGACTTGAGGTATTCCACCTTGGCTCTAAAAATTTAGTTAAGTTCGATATACATGAGATAGTTTTAAATAAAAAAAATCTAAAATTTTTTATGTCAGTATACATTTTTGTCGGTGAATGTTTTGGAGAGTCGTTGTTTCCATTTAAAGGCCACACAAAATATAACCAATAACTGTATTTTTGTGTATAAATCATACACAAAAAAACAGTTTTCCATTTGTTTTTGTATTTACATTCGAATATAAAATTGGTCGATTTATAGTGATACGTTTAAGAAATTCTGACTAATCAGGGTAGCATTGAAAGTTTTTAGAACCATTTTATTTATATATTTTATGCCAATAGCGAATCGTTTAATATACATTTTAGTTTTTTCGCTTCAGTTACACACTGATTTAAAGAAAATAAAATTGGCGTGAACAGTTTTTGACGATTTTTTTTATGAAATACTAACTTAACAATAATGCATAGACCAACTTCTTCTGACTGCAGAATTTATTTTTGGGCATTGGTATGAGGGTCGGAATTCTTGAAATCTGTTCGAAATATTGTTTGGTCTCATAATTTGCTATATAATATTGTGGATAAATCAATAGTTTTTATGATTTAAATGAGCCTGATAAGCAGTTTTGCCAAAAAAGTGTGAGAAATTTATAAACAATTGAATCTTGAACTCACTTTTTTTTTAAAGTTCAATAACTTTTAAAAGTATTGACCGATTTTGATGGAACCGGGCTTAAGTAAATGAAAAATAATGAATAGGTCTATAAAATTATTAAATAAAGTTAAAAGAATATTTTTTAACTATAGCTAATAATTAGTATACTAATTTTAAATTATAATTTATTTTATTTTTTTAAAATGACTTCAACCAAATGCTAAATCATGGTCTGATTGTGGACAAATACAAATCTGGATTTGGTCACCCCAATAACGGTAACACCAACAGAATTTTTTTTCTTCTAAAGTATCTGCCTAATAACTTAAATTAAAACCGAGTGATTATTAGCATTTACACTGACGTTCTTTCGCGCGCGATTGGAACGTGGCGCTCCAATCGCGCGTGATTGCGCGTAAATCTAAAGCTACCTATTGACCCTGACCTTATAAAAAAACAACATTGATAGTATCTAGTGGATTTGAAATAGAAGCTAAAAATATAGTCTCTTCTCACATGATACGGCCAGATATTTCGATTCTTTGTATCCTTGGTCACAAGGGGCTAAAAATAAAGATTTTAATCGATATAAGGAGAAAACAAAACTCGATAAAGTGGAGCCAAGAGTATTAGATTTTTTTAATTACTTTAGATCCTGTAATCTCTGGTTAACACAAAAACATAAAGAACAAAAAATTCTTTATTGGCTTTGTTAAAAGTAAATTTTAATATTATGTAGGGTAATGAATTTTTTTTATTAAAATATTTAACGTTTAAAACTGATAAAAAAAAACTAATCAAAATTACCCATTAAATTAAAAAATTACTTTATTTCTTACAAGAGCTAGTCCTGTAAATATTTATCATACTTAATTTGTTTTAGCAACATTTTATTTAATCTCAGTTATTTGCCCCAGTGTGCGCTCGTTGAAAAATACAGCCGCGCGGAGTTGCTTTTTTATTATTCGAGGGTACAATGTTGGTCTCAATTTTTATTTAGATTTTTGCGAGGCGCAGAACATAATTAAAAATTATTTTTTTATAAATAATTGGTTACAAAAAAATTTTAAAATCTTTTAATTTCATTTGATAATTTAATAGATTAATTAATTATCTTTCATTTAACCCCGGTTTCGTCAAAATCGGTCGATGCACTCAAGAGTTTTTGAAAAGGTGACCTCAAAATTCAATTGTTTATAAATTTCGATTCTTTTTTGCAAAACTACCAGGCTCATTTGTATAATAAAAATCTATCTATTTAGCCGCATGCAATTTAATTATGAGAAGAAACAATATTTTGTGCTAATTTCACGAATTCTGACCCATTTCGATATAAAAAAACTGTGTGCACGTTAAATTACAAACAATTTAACGGAAGCACAAAAAAACTTAAAATCAGGTATTCGACAACTTGTTTTGCAATTGGCGTCAGATAATTTTTTCGTTGTGTCAAGACAAACCAAAACCAACACAAGTTTTTTGTTCTCGAAGAATTTTTAAAACAATAATCTTCAGGAAATCTGGATATGCTGCTATAGCAATATACTGTGGTATTGGAGGGTTAAAAAACTTTTTTTTCAGAATTGCCATAAAACAAACAAGTCGCATCTTATTACACTGTGATGTCCCACGCACTCTAAGCGATTATTTAAAAACCCAAAATATTAATCACTTAAATGCTTCCAGAACTGGTTTCATCAAATCGCGATTATTTTAACGCTGTTGCTAGTGCACCGCGTGCGGTGTACTATTCTGCACCGCCAAATAATGACGTCGGTTGCTTGCGGTGTACAATTTCTGCACCGCATATTCATATTTGTGGAAACGTCAGTTTACACTATCCCTTTTCTATGGTTTACACGTTTACGGTCATCATTTTAAAAGCCAAAAATGTAACTATATATGTAACTATATATATACGCTAACGTGCCGCGATTCGAAATGTTAAAGGCACGTTAGTTACGTCATAAACCCAAACCAACCCAAACTCAACAACACAACCCAACCGACCCCGCCCCATTGGCCCCCCCCCGCCCCATTGAGCAAAAAACCCAACTAAAATGGGCAAATTTATGTTACGATAAAAATAAAACACTTTAAACAAAGGAACAACAAATTTATGAAATAAAAAAAGTTCGACAACTTCTAGTAGATTTTATGTTACGATAAAACTAAAACAAACCAACCCAACCCAACCGAACACTGTTTAACAAAGAAACAACAAATTTATGAAATAAAAAAAGTTCTTAGTATCGAACCCGGGACCTCTCGCATGCCAAGCGCCCGCCCTACTATCTGAGCCATCTAGCTTGTTGTCAAATATTAAACGCTCGGGGAACAAAAACGGATTATAAGCAAGCAACCGACGTCATCAATTGGCGGTGTAGAATAGAACACCGCGCGCGGTGTACTAGCAACAGCGTTATTTTAAAAGACAATAAAACAAGTTGTTTTATTTTTTTTTTCATGTTTTTCTTCAGTTCGAAATATTTTCAGTATTGCCCTCAATATATTAATTATTATTATGACTTTAATTATTATATCAAAATCATAATATCTTGTAGTTTTCCAAACTCTTTCCTCTGCACCTTACCGTACTATAACAGTTTATGACGCAATAGGAGATATACCGCCTATGGAACAAATAAATTTCTATAAAAACTTAGATTACAAACCTATAACGGAATATCAAAGAAGAATGAGACTAAATTCGACATTACTGCCCAATAATCACTTAACCAGGGATTCGATGACTCCTTTAACAAAGACCAGAATAGCATTTGTTCCCAAAATACCTGGTTCTGATTGGAGAGATCTTCCAAATATTTCTTTAAATTTAAAAGGTGGTAAGCGAACAAACGTTTTAAAATATCCATATAGGTATTATTAAGTACACTATGTCACAAAATATTTATAGTATATTTACAGGTATGAAACACAAAATGATGGTGAACCAAATCGGTCAGTTTGTAAATGCTCAGAATCTAAAAAATGCGATATTAAAGACAGACAGGAAAATACAATAATTCCTTGGAGTTGTGTACATACGGCTAGTAAGCATAATAATTGGACTGGTGTTTATGGAAGATTAGAATGGGATGGATATTTCAGTACCACTTTAACTAAGCCTGAACCTAGTTCTAAACAGGGTAGAGGTACTTTGTTAATAGGTTTTATTTTTAAAAAATGCCCCTTTATTTTTAAAATATTTCGTAATCAGGTGTTTAAAAATTTCGAGAATGATTGTTTTTATTAATTATGCATATTAATTAAGGTTTAAAGGATTTGTTCTTAATTGCAAGATGTTTTTATTTATATTTAGCTCCTATTAATAATAAAAAGGGTTTAAAAATATTATTATTATATTTATATTTACATACATAAATATCCATATCAGTTGACATATTAGGGTAAAAAAAGTATGCTTGTTCCGCTCCTCAGAACGGTTCCAAATGATTAACAACATTTTTTTATTGATATTAATACGTGCCTGGATTGACGGGTAAATTCGCAAATAACAGCCGTATTTTTGATTTTATCGAAAAACAACCAATACCATTTTTGACAAGAAAAATAGGTTCTACAAATTTATATATTTTTAAACAATTTGCATATATGCATATATTTCAAGGGGTAAGAAGCAAAAGGGTACAAGTGCAAAAAAGAGAAAGTTCTTGCTATATACAAAAATATGGATACTTGATTCAATGTTTGCATTAATCAAAATGCAGAACTCGTACAATTTTCACGAAATGAGAAAATTAAAAAAAAAATTGGACCCAATTCTGCACTTAATTTTATGCTAAAATGCACTTGTACCCTTTTGCTTCTTACTCCTTCATTTAACAAAAGCGAAAACAATACAGCTAAAACCCCTTTTATATTTAATAAATATTATTAGGAATAGGTCAAACAAATAATAAACTTAAAATATCCTGGGACTTAAAATTTTTGTGGGGAACTTTTTAGTTTTAAAATATCATGATGTTTTTATTTATATATGATATTTAATATAATAATAATAATATTTTATATTTGGTATTTATTTCATATACAGGGTGTCACCAAATAAGTTGTCATCCTTTAAGGGGATGATAGTACAGGCCAAAATAAGAAAGTTTTTCCTCTATCATTTTTGTATTAGTGCCACTTTTTTTTTGATAAAAAAATCATTAAAATTTTTGTAAGTAAAGTAGAAATTTTGAGCCGCCACTGGTTGTTCCTGACCTACGACAAATTACTAAAACATGCTCGCACAGTGGTCAATACTACACATTTATTAAAAATTTACATTTGTGTTATCATTCATTACATGTTAATAATTATTTTTTGTTTTGCATACTCAGCTATTTTTAGGTACTTTGAATAAAACAATACTTACTTTTTATTGTTAGGTATCTCGAGGTTTCCGTGGTTTTCAGTGTTCCACAAAATTATAATAAATGTTCAACTATCCCGCCGTTATTATCCACACCAAGTATCCGGATGATTTTTATCTGCCGCTGGGGCATTCCACGTTACTCGGTAATTTTTGTCCCGCCCGTCACAATTAAAAATTTTGAGTAAAAACCACAAGTTATAAAATTAATATTTTATTTTATTATTTTTATTGTGCTTATAACTTATTAAAAGCATAATAAAATAATATTTTTAAATAAATTTTATAACGTGTAGTTTTTACTCACAATTTTTAATTGTGACGGGCGGGACAAAAATTACCGAGTAACGTGGAATGACCCCGCTGCAGTGACAAGATCGCGGAGTTGTTATAATGTGTCAACTTCGCTTTGGTACACTAAACTGTTCATGTAACCCCAAAGAAACCACAATAAAAACCGAACTGTCAGTAATCAATGATAAAAAAGTACCTACTAACCGATTTTAAATAAATTTTTAAAGGTTTGCTTGATATTACATAATACTTACACAGTGCGCATACCAGTTTCTTTTTTGCTTTTAAGAATAATATTATTGTTTTTAGAGGTAAAAACAATGATGATATATAGGATAGGTCAGCGACATCCAGTGGCTCCCTGGTTTTGTCAAAAAATTTCATAATTTTTTTTATTAAAAAAACAGAAACTCTAATGCAAAAATAATAGAGGAAAAACGTTGTTGTGTACTATCATCCCCCAAAGGATGACAATTTATTAGGTGAAACCCTGTATAATAAATGATTTATTTAAAAAACTACGTTCAAATAATGGTACCTATTGAATAATATTAAAATAAAAAATCTTGACAAAACTTCAAATTTCAACTAAATAAAAATAAAAATGCACATATGTGTTATATAACTCAAGAATAAAGTTTCAAAAGGTTTAAATTAAACTAACTTCATGTTTATGATGATATACAGTAAAACTACTCAAATCTAAAGGAACCCGCAAAAAATTTGACTTTGGAAATAATTCGAATAGAGCTTGATTATTTTCTAAAGGCGGTTGACCTTGGGTGCGTAAAAACGAACTTAACATTGTACGGCTAATTACCCGGACAACATTCGTGATATTCATACGAACATCACGTCGTGATTTTCACAAATTTTATTCATACGGACATCATCCGGATGTCACTGCGTGAGAAATGAAAATCATGTCGTGATTTTTTATGCCATCGCTGTTTGCGATTGACCGATGGCACAAAAAATCATGTCGTGATTTTTTATACCAACGGTGTTTGGATAATCATTTTTGCGCCACGTTCGTACCTATACTAAAAGAAAAATGATGTTGAATCAACAGTTTTTGCGGTTAAATACATTTAATATTTTCTTGGATTTAAATTAACTATCAGGGCTCCCACGGCTAAATTACAAATTTTATTTAGGAATTTAGGAGGTTTTTTGTAAAATTTTAGGATAAATAAAGTATGAAAATGAATTTCTTTGAAAAAATAAAAACAACTCTTTACTACTTAAAAAATAAGAAAAAAATGAATACTTCTTTTGTAAAAATAAGTTATATTGACTAGTTTTTTAGAAAAATCGCTCGAGGAGTTTTTTTTTAAATAAAATTAAATGTGAGGTAAAATTAAAACTTGTATATATCTGAGGTACATATATATACAAGTATAAATTTCACCACACTTTTAATTTTAGTTAAAAAAAATGCGTCGATAGATTTGGCTAAAAAACTAAGCCAAAATCAAATGATGTTATAGTTATATTTTAAGAACAAATATGTTAACCGTTAACCGTAAATGTTTTTAATAGCTAACAGTAATTGAATCGATAAGATTAAGAATAGTACGAGTCCAAAAGTAAAATTTTTTATTAATATATTTCAAAAAATCAGTTTTATAGTTCTAAATGCATTTTTGTTAGAATATTTTAACTATTTTATGAAATATTATATTCATATTCTGTAAAATAATTTATGTCTTCTCACAAAAATGTATTTTAAACTTTAAAATTGATTTTAGAATAAATTGTCAAAATTAAATTTTTGGACTTGCACTGTTCTTTTTCTCACCGATTTAATTGTAATTTGGATCTTAATACATAAAAATCTCATAACAAAATATAAAGTTTGCAAAATACAGCAAAACATTCTTTAGATTGTTTACTATTTTAGCTGTCATTTAAAAGAAAATTAAAAATCCTTTTGTTTGATATATATCTTACGGCTAATGTGCAAACTTGGATAGTTTATAAACTAGCTGGATAGTTTATAAACTAGCCAAACTGTCAGCTATTTTAATTGAAAATGTATTAGTTGGTTAGTTTACAAACTAGCTAAAGCTTGGCTATTTTGTGTTACTAGAAATTTTGGTTTTCATATTAGCCAAACTGAATTGGATAGTATACAACCTATCCAGCTATTTTAGTTTCCCTAATAATTTTAAGTATCCTTCAAGATCCTTGGTTATTTTGTAAACTAGCCGCTAATTTAGTTGAAAATATGTTATCAATTAAAATAGCTGACAGTTTGGCTGGTTTATAAACTATCCAGCTAGTTTATAAACTATCCAAGTTTGCACATTAGCCATAACATATGCAGTGTATATATTATACACGGTATATTTTTGACTAAAAAAAAGAAATATCGCTAAAAATGTCAATTTTGTAGAAGTTTTTTTGTTGTTTTTTTAGAAAAATTTTGGTTGTTATATTATATCATTTTAAAAAGAATTTAATAAAATAGAACCTATAAATATATATTTTAAATTACTTTTTAAAAAAGAATTTTTTAGCACTACCTTAATTAAACGCAGTCAGGTTGGCCTATTTAAATTTAATTTTAGGATTTTAGGAGTTTTAGGAGATTGAATGCAATTTTAGGAGAATTTTAGGAGTTTTCAAGATTTAAGCAAAATTTTAGGAATTTTATGAGTTTTAGGAGGTGTGGGAGCCCTGAACTATATATAGTTAATTTAAATCAACCCAACCGCAAAAACTGTTAATTCAATTGTTAACATACATTTTCTCACAATGTATGAATGTGGCGCAAAAATAAATATCCGAACATGTCGGTGCACCGATGGCATAAAAAATCATGTCGTGATTTTGTATGCCCAAACACCGATAGCATAAAAAATCATGTCGTGCTTTTTTATGCCATCTGTACATTGAGAGAAAAATTATACGGCCATTCCACGCGTAACAAATGGGACAGTTGCAAGTTTTTATTTACAAAATAACATTGTTCTATTAGATTACTAATGTCAAATTTTTATCAATACTTCTAAACAAAATACTACTAGTCTGTTTTTGAATAAAAAAATAATTTTTAAGGAATTAAACAGACAACCACGATACCTAATTTTGACAAATAAAAACCTTGTTAAACAACTTTTGTTTAGAACTATTTATAAAAATTTGACATTGGTAATATAATAGAACAATATTATTTTGTAAATAAAAACTTGCAACTGTCCCATCCGTTACGCATGGAATGGAATATCTTTCTTAATTGAACCCGGACAACATTCGTGATATTCAAACAACGTTTTATAAATTATAACGGTGTAACGTGAATAACAAACTAGGTTTTAAATTCGCAGTTCGCAGGGCTCATACGCAGTTGCAAGTTTTTATTTACAAAATAACATTGTTCTATTAGATTACTAATGTCAAATTTTTATAAATACTTCTAAACAAAAGACTACTAGTCTGTTTTTGAATAAAAAAATAATTTTTAAGGAATTAAACAGACAACCACGATACCTAATTTTGACAAATAAAAACCTTGTTAAACAACTTTTGTTTAGAACTATTTATAAAAATTTGACATTGGTAATATAATAGAACAATATTATTTTGTAAATAAAAACTTGCAACTGTCCCATCCGTTACGCATGGAATGGAATATCTTTCTTAATTGAACCCGGACAACATTCGTGATATTCAAACAACGTTTTATAAATTATAACGGTGTAACGTGAATAACAAACTAGGTTTTAAATTCGCAGTTCGCAGGGCTCATACGCATGCCCAAATTTTGCAAATATTACACCGTGAGTTCTACATGATATCACTGTGATGAAGCATGTGTATGCACTCAGGATATCACAGCGTGATAAAAAAATCATGTTGTGATATCATCATGATTTCACCAGGAAATCCCGATTGATGTCCGGGTATTTCCAATATTGAATGTTGCCACTGTTCGTTTTTTTATATGATAAATAGTTTAATTTTTAACTATCCGACATATAAAATTGTTTAATTTTTGAATATTAAATTTAATTTGGATTTAAGAAAAATGTATGTTTTTAGTTTCCAGGCCGAGCATGACGCGCAGCTTTCGTCAAGGTCAACCGCCTTTAGAAAATAATCGAGCTCTAAAAGTTCGAATTAGGGTGAAACCACTGAATATCATAAAATAAATAACTGATTATCGTCGCATGAGTTCCAAGTACACTTTTGGTTAAAAATAAGATAGGCACACCAACGCATGTAAAAAAAATCTGCATCGTTCAGTTCGCAAATCTTTGCAATTGACGTAAAGATGGCAGGATACTCGTTAATTCCCACATACTTCCTATCTTAATTATTAGATAAGTAAGTTATCTGCATTACCGACATGGTCTTTGACAGTTGCTGGCCTCGTACATCTTTGAATAAAAAACCCCAGGAAGAAGTAAATGATAGAAAATAGCTGACCGCACAGGGGGCTAACCAATTGGTGGCCACAAATGGCGGACTATCGTTTCCGCCAGCTATAACGTTTAATTCTTTGCAAGGTTTAATTATTAAACCAAAACGCATAGAACAAACCATAAGCGCTATTAAACAAACCAAAAACCATGGAGCCTACACAAGGAGCCCGAACTTAATAGGGAAAATTGACAAAACCTGCCCTCTAAATTTCACAAATTAAGTCTTTTTTTTTCACCACCAGCGGCGCTTATTGTTGATGCGTACTGACGTCTGCTCTTCTGGTAGCGTTTCGGTACAAATTAGTCAATTGTTTCAGAATAAACGGTACACCAGCGCCTACTTTCCTTAGGAAGATTCTTGTTTACATGCAGTTCGTACTCCTTGTGTAGGCTCCATGCCAAAAACGCTCAAACAGGTAAATAAACTAAGAAGATTATATTCAGGAGCTTCAACTCCATAGAAATTCGAGGAGTGGGGGGTCCACAAGAATGTCGCACGTGTACAATGACCGAGAACGCAAAATTGAGTTCTGCGCATCTCCCATCCTATCATTTGCAGAGATAAAGAAGGTACCTTTTTAACCTCTATTATTTTGTGCATCTGTCAAGCGTCAAAACAATGTTTACCTTTACCAATTTTGTAAATAAGAAGATTATAATGTAATTATATTATAATAATTATTAGTTCATAAATTTACTCACTGTTTTAACAAACTGTTCTGTTTACTATTAAGATTTTAAAACAGTTTGTTAAAATAGTGAGTAAATTTATGAACTAATCAGTATTACTGTCGTTGTAGCAGAAAACGTAAACTGCAGTTTACATGTAAACATACATGTAATGATGTTAATTTGGTCATCAATAATGTATTTTCACGTATAAAATGACTGAATTTTGCAATGTAAAATCAGACAATTTCAAGTTCTTTGGTGTAATTATTACATTGTAATGTTTTGTTATAAACTTACTGATGGTATTTCAAATAAATGATGTGTAGGTTTTTATCTCTTGACAAATTAAACAATTTTTAACACAGCACAAACATCCCATACCTATGTAGTGATTTTCTCAAATAATAATTTTGAAAAATTTGACAAATTAAACAATTTTTAACACAGCACAAACATCCCATAGGTATGTAGTGATTTTCTCAAATAATAATTTTGAAAATAAAATAAAGCTTGTCAATCAACCTTCTTTATTTCTGTTGTAAATCTTCCAACCAATGCTTGCAAGTGCAGTCTGTCACGTGAGTTGAAGGTCCAACGTGTTCTTTGTTGAAGGTCTATGCTCGGTTGATTAATAATTATTTGTGCGTATTGTACACGACGCGACGCGTTTTCTATCCATTCTCATGCGGAGTGGAAGCTCCTGAATATCACAATCTGGATTGTGCTGAATATAATCTTCTTAAAATAAACAAACACAAACTGTCATCTGTCAGAAAAAATGACTCATAATCGGGCTCCTAATATGGCGAATTCCGTCGTAAATTTATTACATAAACAAGATTCAGCAGTGTCCTGAGGTTTTTTATTGAAAGTCGTACATAAATGTTCTAGAAAATTACTTTTATCCGAAATCGGCAGTAAAGTAAAAGAAATCCGCAGTTAAGTAGAACTTTACTGCCGATTTAATAGAGAGTATTGTATGCAACCCATTATACATTTTAAGATGTGTCTACCCAAAGATAATTATCCTTGGTGTCTACTGCTATTCAGCAGCAACTAAATAATATTTTTAAAAAAGCACCGCCGCGGAGGTCAATTGGACCCGTTCATAAGATGTTGTTTAATAAAAATAATAAGTTAATTTTATTAATTAGGGGTCATCCATTAATTTCGTGAGGCAATTTTGGTTTGGTTTTTTCGACTCCCCCACTCCCCTTGGTGAGATATCGTGAGATTTTGCTCGACCCCCTCCCCCTCCCTTAATCTTACGTGAGATTTTTTTAAATGCATGGTTTTAATGTAAATAATTTATTTATTTATTTATTTATTTATTTATTTTTATTTATTGATACTACTTACAAACACAATACAAATTGTAATTAAAAGTAAGAGATAAATACATGTATATAATTAAAATCTAAATACAAAAACAGTAACAAGACAAAAACAGATGTAAAAGTAGCCTAAACTAAGAATAAAAGACTAGAATGAGAGAAAGTGTAATCTAATTTCTTTGGTATTATTTCCCATAAAAAGGTCAATGTTGGATACTTCCAATAATAAGTTGCATTGCTCTAACATATTTCTAAATGGGGAGCAGTCTGTTAGATCAAAATAAAACATATTTCTTCCCTGCATGCGCAAATGTATCTTTGGAACCAATAGTTTAACAAAATTCATCAATTGAAGATTTTTATACTTTAAGTTGTTGATAATAAAATATACAAGAAGTACAGCCTGCAATGACCGCCTTCTTTCGAGTGTGACAAAATTGAACTCCTCAAGCATGCTTCTGTAGGAGATCATATATGGATAGAGGTTATGCACCCTGACATATAGAAACCGAAGAAATCTTTTTTGAACCCTTTCTATAAGATTTATGTTGACTTCTGCCCGAGGTGACCATACAACAGAAGCATACTCAAGATGAGGCCTCACAAGAGCATTAAACAATTTGATTATACATTTAGTGTCTCTGAAATATTTTGTATTTCTAATTACAAAGCCTAAGATCTTGTAGGCTTTGTTTACAATATGTTCATAGTGAGTATTAAACTTAAAGTTGCTTTGGAAAAAGACACCCAGGTCCTTGCATTGAGACTTCCGAACAAGGTGCTCGCTATTAACACTGTATGATGCTCTTATGTAGTTCACCCTTCTTGTAAATGTTATAATTGCACACTTGTCTATATTTAAATACATTTTGTTTTTCTTAAACCAATCAACTACTGTATCCAAGTCAGATTGTAGTTCTTTACAATCTTCCAAACAGGAAATAGGCTTAAACATCTTGAAATCATTCGCAAACATAAGGCAGGATGAGTGAGTGATACTCTTTGGTAGGTCATTAATGAAGATTGTAAAAAGGAGTGGTCCCAAGTTACTGCCTTGTGGCACCCCAGATGTTAGAGCAAATTCGTAGGATAGAGATTGCCCTACTTTAACCCGCTGATGCCTATCAACAAGGTATGAGTTAAGTTAATCTCTGATTGATTCCATTAGATTTATTATAAAAAAAACAATTTGCTTATAATTGTTTACTTAATTTAACCCAGTTTTCTCGCAATTTTACACTGTTTCATTCGAAAAGAAAAAATTACGTGATATTTGCCGAGACCATCCTCCCCCCCCCCACGTGAGATTGGGTGAGGTTTGGCTCTACCCCCCTCCCCCCCATAAACACCTCACGTAATTAATGGTTACCCCCCTTAGATTAAAAAATCGCCGCGGCGGGCAAATATATTAGGGATAGAACGATACCGATATTGATATCGGTATATCGGCAATTGTTTCCGATTATCGGTATCGTATCGTATCGGCAAGATAATTGCCGATATATCGGCAAAAAAAAAATTCGCTTTTCACTCTTCAGTGCATAAATGAAATACTTTATTAAACAAAATAAAAAATTTTATTCTAAAGGTAACATTTTTACTAAAAAAGTAAAACAAATCCTAACACCACTTACAACAAATATACCTAATGTAGCAGGTACTAAATACAGTATATACTTATTACTTAAAATTTAATTTCTTGATATTATGATGCAAAAACACCAACATTTCAGCCCTATCTGCATTTAGTCTATTTCTTTTAGCTCGTAAATATTAAATATTATATTGTTTTAATGCATTTCTGCTAGAAATGCATTAAAACAAAACAAACGAATTCGATAAAAATAAAACCTATAAATTCTCAATCCCTACCACAGTGGGCGGGGTTTGGCACTTGTTTTATTTAAAGTCGTTTTTTCGCGTAAATACCATAAAATACTATGGTTATTAAACTTAACCTTGGTTAATAGTTAAGGCATTTTTGCGTTTAGAGTGCGTTCAAAAATCCTAACTATGACGTCACAAATACCAGACCATAAAACTATATCGCTGAGCTAGTTATTCAACGTGGTTAATAGTCTTTCTCTATTTAATATATATTTTTCTGTTTCGATCTGTCAAAAAGTTGTTTACATTTGAAATTTAAAATATTTTAAGTAGGTACAATTGCTCTTAAACCGAATTTAAACTTTGTATTAAAATGGTAAACGGGGTGTTGTCAGAAAAAATAAATGATAGGGTGCTCCATATTGTGGACTCTCCACAAGTGGAGGAATTATATGCAGGTTTGTTTTATATTCTTCCTTATTTTGTATTAAACATGTAGGAGAATTGGATAACGTGTACTGAAAAAACTAGTACCTATAGAAAAAGAATATACTAGGTATAAGAAGAGGCAAAGAAATTTATTTACACCGGTAAAAGCATAGAAATTAAATATAAATAGGTAAAAACACATTTCAAAAATTATAGGTTATGAACAAGTAAACAAATGTCAAATGTTAGAAACCTAACCATGGTTATATGAATTAACTGTGACGTCATGACTTATTTAACCATAGTATTACATAGTATTTACGCGAAAAAACGACTTAAGTGTATCTATTCGTTTTAATACACACTGTATAAGGGGCTTCTCAGAAATCCGAAATGTCACTCACTACCAATCACAAACGTTTCCTCGCAACGGAATTAAAACGGGACTTCCCCGATTTTTGCTTCGGTCGTGTATAAATAGATGGCATTATGTTTGCCGATACGATATATCGGTATATCGGCACGTAAATATCGGTATCGGCCGATATATCGTATCGGCAAAAAAAAGTGATATCGTTCTATCCCTAAAATATATCATAAACGTCGCAACAAACAGTATACGTAGACATTTCCTACATTCAAATCACAGTTGATTTGATCATCAAATGACATTTGATTTGATCATCAATATTAATTATTAGTATTATTAAATGTGATTTCGGATAAAATTTAATATGCACCTCGGCATTAAAGTCATTTTTTATCAATCACGTGGTTTTGCCTCTGCGAATAATTTCCACATTCGTGATAAAATAATACGACTTAACTTCACGAATCATCTTTTTAGTTAAAAACCTTTAATATGTTTTCGTTTCGTGGGGTTAAAGTAGGGGAAGTGAAAACTATGTATGATTCCTTAGTCCTTATTTGGGAAAATAATAAATACTTTTTAATTAAGTGAATAACTAAACATTTGAAAATAATAAATACACAAAATAATGATACCTATTTTAAGATTTTATAATGGCAATATCAGCAAGAATTTGGCAACTTCGTATTTTATTTCGATAGCCAAAACCAGGGTGGACCCTGGCCAAAACAAAGAACACACTTTGACTTAACTCATGAAAAAAGGATATACTTAACCTATACAAGGGTGGAATAAGGTGATATAGCTTGTATCTCTAAAGTTTGTTGAGCGTTAGATGGCGCGCGAGATTAGGACGATTAGTGACGTTTTAACGGATATTTTTTTAATGTCAATGCTTTGTGTTTTGAGGTTAATCAAACAGGTAAATACCCCACAGGTCTGTGAAATACCCTGATCAATACCATAATAGTATATTATGTATCAAGTTTTATAAACGGCATTTTAGTTACGAGTTTTATTAGGCACGAGCGAAGCTTGCGAGCGAGTGTTTAATAAAAACCAATGTCTAGAGAAGTTTATAAAACGAGTTGCATACTATACTTTATCTACGACGAACAGAAATAAGAATTTAAAGACAATTTTATTTCATAAAATTTGACATTTAACAAATTTAATCTCACTTTTTCGCAATTTATAATAAAGCTAACTTCAGCCCGTGACTAAAATGCCCAAAAGCCACTGTTATTAACTTCAGCCCGTGACTAAAATGCCATAAAGTCACAACTCGTCAATGTGGGAGTAGATAAATTATTTTTTACGATGGGAAAAATTTGTTGTTTTCCGGGATGCAATGTTACTAATCGTAAAGTGAAAAGAAGTATTTTCCAAGTGCCCAAAAATGTACAATATAGACAAAAATGGTCAGAAATTTTAAACCTTTATAATCTGTGACCTTTATCTCTGCACTTTTTATGTATTACATGTATAAAAATATAAATAATTTTATTAATTGTTTAATATATTTTTTAAATAACTTTATAATAATATAATTATGTATTTGAGATACCATTATATAATATTTTTAACGTGTTTCTTATTTTTGGCGCCATCTATTTGGATTTTTAACAAATACTGACTTATCTGGCCGGCTTCAACGACGAAGTTGAATCACCTCCTTCTTCCACCCTGACCTATGCGTTGATTGGGATAACTTAATCCAAGATGTAGGTAAATGATTTACAAAAATTTAATTTAATTTAGTTAATTCGTATTATATATTTTAAATCCCCCACTTATAAAGTGACTATGCCCATACGGTAGATCACACTTTAACCCTTACGCTCCATGTGGCTACAATTGTGACTTCCTTATGTACATATACTTTATGGGTTAAAATGATACAGTGGAGCTCCCACTCCTCAATCGTAGAATTGTGATATGTGTTTACTACGCAGACAAGAGCATGCGCTCACCAATTTCTGCCTTGTTTTTGTTTTTGATGGCAATTTAAGCGTGCTAGTTCTTTACATCATTGCGTCTAATAGTAAGTCATTGTCTTTTTATTACAAAAATGGCTTTATTTAATGTAGAATGCTTAAAGTGTCTTCAGGAAAGGTTAATTCTTTGACTCTTCAAAAAAAAAATTTTTATTTTGGTTTTCATATTAAAGCAATTTTGTCGAGAAAACTTTAATTTTGCTTTAAAATTTGAATTTTAATTTCTCAGGAGTGTAAGGGTTAAATCAACAAATTTCCCCTCATAAAAGGAAACAAGGCTATCCATACAAAATATAGCAAATAAGCAGTATATTTGTAGAAGTACCTACATAATATGTACCTACATAATATAATAAGTTGCGGTTTTAGAAGATAAGTTGAAGCACATATAATTTTTTTATAAAAGGATGTGCATTAAACATAAGGATTACATAAAAACATTGTTAAATTAATACCGTGAAGCACAAAATTCAAAAACAAAATAACTTCTTATTTTTATTTTTTTAAATGCATATTTTATTACTTTTAAATAAAACTACCTCATAGATGTGTTTTTTACTCATTTTTATTTCTTATTCACTTAATTACAAATAAAAACATTGCACCATAAATCGCGTTTTATTATTTTGTTTAGTAAGGTTACATATCGCTTATTCGAAACAACAGTGACACAACTCAAAAATCACAGTTTTTGAGAAAACGCATTTTAAATTTCTTATTACTGTTTTTTAGAGAGTATGCCTAAACAACAAAATATTTTAGCCCAGCTTTTATTTTTTGAGCCCGGCTTGGTTAATGGAAAACAGTAATAACAAATTTAAAATGAGTTTTCTCAAAAACTGTGATTTTTGAGTTGTGTCATTGTTGTTTCGAATGAGCGATATGGTTTCAAGCAGTGTTTTCAAAGTTATTCTAGAGTTTTCAATTTTAGAATTTACACAGGTTTTTTTTATGTTAAACACGTTAGTAAAAGATTATTTTCCACTTTTCCACTCAAAAACCGTCCATATAAATCATACTAATATTTGCCTTAATGCAAACCATAAAAATTGCCTTACTGTAAAATTTACCAAAATGTACTTGGACACGCGACGATATAGATATTGCTTGACATGCAGGGTGTCCCGAAAATAGTGTGCAATACTTCACACGTGGTTTCTAAATACAAAAATAGAAAAAAACCTTATAAACGTAGATCGCAAATGGCACCTAAGGGAACTACGGCCTCTTAAAGGGGCGCCCTAAAGTTGTTTTTTTATTATTTCCGAAACTTTTTGAGATAAAATATTTATAAATATTGTTGAATAGGCTTGTATTAACACAACCTTTCTAGAATTTAACCATCCTACCAATAAAATAAAAAAATACTCATAGTAGGTATTATACTAATAATACATAGAAGGATACTTGGTGCACCCTGTATATATTATATTGAAAATCCTGAAATCAATTTTTATTATGAAAATGTTAAATTTATGTTATGTGCAAACAATATAAGAGGTTGGTGGTAGAATATTTTAATGACCACGCAATTTTTTTCATAAAAGTTTAACTTTTGAACATAAATTAAAAATTAAGGGGTATTTTTTCATTAAAATAACCCTAATAATATATTATCTTTCAGTTTTGCACCCAAATAAAAACCGAATAATTACTATAAGAGAGAGTGCTCGATCTCAAGCATTACCAGATAATTTCCATCTATTTGGTAGCATAAATGATAAATATAAACAAATAGGTAATGCAGTTCCACCCCCTCTGGCTTACTTTATAGGAATAGAGATTTTAAAGTCCCTTACTGAGGATTAAATTAAGTTTTTAACATTAATTTTAAAATCAATAATTGGGAATAAATGTATTTTTTTACTAAACTTGTTAATAATTATAATTTTACTCACCATACACCTATTAATTTACTTGAAATAATAAAGTTTCTTATCTATAACAATTTATTGGACTATTATTTAACATTCATTTCAACTAATGTAATAACTTGACTCCTTTAGGCTTTAATTTACCATTTAAAATTTGTTCTTTCCTTTTAACTTCTTCCATTTGTAAGTGTTTATGTCTATCAACAGCAAAATCTACTTCGCCAGTTAATTTTATAATTTGTTTTGCTATTTCTTTTTGCTTAATAATTCTTTGTTTTTGCCTAACACCATATGGTGTAAGCCTTCCATCTAAGAATGTATAATCTGGACCATCAGTTAATACTCCACACGCATTTGGATTTAACGGTAAACCTCTCTCTTGTCTCCATTTTTGATTTATATTATAGACTGGAGTTGAACAAACACAACGGTTCACTTGTATTGATTTTGTGGCGTCTAAAAATATTAGAAAGTAAATATATTATATACTACTTGAATACGTTATGACTTACTATACATTTTTATTAAACTGCATAAGTTTTTTTGAAACATTTTATTTGGTATTATTTATAGGTTATACTTCTTCTTCTTTAAAGTTTTAAGACACTGACACTGGGCCAGTGTTGCCAACTCGAAAATAACAAACAAGAATCTATCAGTGTTGCCAATGACCGTGCAATTGCACGGTTTGCGTGCGTTTTCATGCCTGACCGTGCATTTTGCGAACATCGTGAGAAACCGTGCCTTTTGCGTGCGTTTTGAACATACGACATTAAAACATTAAAAAAAATATTTAAAATACAATTAGAAACTTGGCAACATTAAAATTAAAAAAAAAATGAAAATGCAATTAGAAACTTGGCAACTTGACATTGTGGGCGGGGTCAGCAGTACAATTTTAAATTTGCCGGTATTTATAGTGCGTAAGTCACAAAAAAGATGGCGTGAGCAATGCTTACTGGGTAGAATCCTTCTACGCAGGCTCACTGAGCATGCGCCTAAGACACTTTAGTCACTAGAGTCTAGTAGAGAAGAAGGCATCTTTTTTTTACTGCAAGAACATTAAATGTTAATAGGTATACATCTACGTAAATAGGTATAGGTACTTAGTAGTATATATGTATAGGTAGTAGTCTGTGGTAGTAGTACTACCGTAGTACCATAATGATTGAACAGTGATAGTACTGATTCATCTAAACTTACACCCAAATTACACCACAATAAAAAATTGTAGAAAATTATACGCCACTGCCCATTTAAATAATTATTATAGAAATTTAAATAAATATTATAGAAACAATATTTCTATGAAAATGCTTAAAATTTTAAAAAATAGTACTTTTATAACACAAACAAAAAATACTGCGTGCAAAACTTGCGCATTTTGATTCCTGGGACCGTGCAAAACCGTGCGTTTTGGAGCACTTCACCGTGCAATCTAACAAATGTTCATTGGCAACACTGGAATCTATACTTATTCCGCTACACCTGCTCTATTTTGGCTTAAAGTTTGGATACACTTTTTTTAATGCAAATATATTTATAAAGACAAAAAATTTGAAGCAAAATACTTTATTCAAGTAATAAATATAAAAAACAGGTAACAAAAAAGTTCCTATAGGGATTATAACATCTAACCTGAAAATTTAAATAGAAGTTTTCCTTTTGCCACGATTCTTAGATATTCTTACCTCACCTTGGTTTATCTCACTTTAGAGACCGTTCCATTTGCAAAATGACAGGTAAGTGAGAATTTTACCTCCCCCCTTACCGATCAAGCACAACCTCCGGAGCACACTTAAAGTAAGTGTCACACACAATGTGGATTGTGGTGTCACATACAAACAAATGAGAAATTTTGATTACTTGGTGGTGGGGATAGATGCACGCCAAAAAGTGAGGTTGTACACTTTCTATCAAACAAAACAGAAGAAAATTAAAACAATATTAGTAATGGGCATAATCGGATTATACCGATTATATCCGATACGATTATTTCAATAATCGGATGATAATTCGATTAAATAATCGGCGATTATAAATCGCATACTTTCATTCGGATTTCAATATCGGAATAATTTAATCAAATTGATAATTCGAATGAAAGTATGCGATTAATAATCGCCGTTTATTTTCGAATTAAGTAATCCGCGATTATTAATCGCATACTTTCATTCGGATTTCAAATTGAATGATTCATTCGGCGACTAGAATACCTACCTAGGTATGACTATTTAAATAGTAATTTACGATTACGATGATACGATACGATTAAACTAGTATTTTCAGAATCGCTGCTGAATATTACATTCACTACATTCTATAAAATTAAAGAATAAAAAAAAAGGTAAGTATTTATTATTGTTTAAATTGGATTTATATTTTTAACTACCTGTATTATTTGATTCGACATTTTGTTCGTTAAGTCTTTAATCTTTGCGTTAAACCGTTGAGGGAAATGGTTAAACCACAGAACATAAAGCCTGAATTATAGATTGCCTTCCTTCCTTCCTTCCTCCCGTAGAAGATGAACATTACGTAATTGTCACCATTTACATTTCCCGTTTAGGTATTTTTAATACTTTGTGATTTTGCAATTATAGTAATAAAAAAAATCAAAGAATAAAATATTTTCACCCATAATATAACAAGTGGTATGATTATCATCGAAGATATTTTCGAATTGAAACCGAGCTGCAGATTTCACGAGTCCGCAGGACGAGTGAAATGTGCTGCTTCGGTTTTAATGAGTAACTATCATCGATAATTAATCATACCACGAGTTATATTTAGTGAGAAAATATAATGAATTTTAGGATTTAACGAATTTTTAGTTTGACATTTGAAATTAAAATGTGCTTTAAAATATAAAAAGACTTTAATAAACCTTATTTATTCAAACTTACCTTAATTTCATTATCGTTTACACCAACCCATCGATCTTTTAGAGTATATAATTCATTATTTTATTAATATATATCAAAAACAGAATTTAAATGACAACACATGTCAAATCAAAAAAACGTCAAAATTCATAGTAACGTGTAAACAAGATGATAAAAATTATTGCCGCTGTGATAAAATACGTCACTATGGAATACTGGCATTTTATTGGTTCTAATATTAATGAATTGTATTGTCTTAACAAAATCATATTTTTAAGTAATTTTAATATTTTAAATTATCAATATATTGTAATTATTGTAATTATAATTAATTAAGTTTAATTAAAATTAATAACGGGCAATGTTAATGGTGACAATTACGTCAAAAATGTTTATTTAAATCGTATTGCCAGTTATAGATTCCCGTACCGTACGGGCACGACTACGGGAGGAAGGAAGGAAGGCAATCTATAATTCAGGCTTAAGGGTTAAACTGTCAAGTGTCACTTTTAGAGAAAATAGGCTTACCAACCGTTCCTTTGGTCTATTTTAGGTAAGATGAGTGCGCGTAAGTGGCCTCGCTTATCTCACTTCAAAAATGAAAGTGTTGCCAGCGTCAGTACGTTTGTACCGAATTCAGTACTTTCGAATTAAAAAAAGTACCCAAGTACCTCGTTGATGGTTTTCAGTACGTTTTCCAGTTTTAGATTTTTTTCTCTGTATTTAAATAAAAATTAAAGAAAAAATTTAAAGTTTAGGTTGGTGATTCTGAGTTGTTTTAGTACCCTGGTAATTTAAGTTTTAAACTGTTGGCAGCGCGCTTTGTCTACTCAGTGTTGACATATGGTTTGTTCCAAGTTGGCCAAGAACCGTCCTAAAACCACATATTTAGAGAACTCTAGTTCTCTAAATATGTGCCTAAAACCCTTTGCTCATGGGAATAAGATAAAAAACATCGAAAACGTTTACTTGCAAAGCAATTATTGAAGCCAAATACCTCAATCTTTGTTAAAAAAAGACAATTGATTATCGATAGGTAGACTATTTCTTTATTTAACATTTTTTTTCGAAGTTTTTTGTATAGGTATTTTGTTCTTTTGATGTTTATGGTTTATTTATGTGCATGTGTTTATTGATAAAGTACAAAATAAAATTACGTTCATATAAGTTTAATGTTTATTTCTCAGTACGTTATCTTTCTTATTGCCATTTCAGTACTTTAATTTTTTCACTACTGGCAACACTGGTTGTAGCGTCATTTATTTTCGAGTTGGCAACACTGGTAGTCAGCGGTTTGTTCTCAGCGGTTTACACACGGAACATAAAAATCTAGGCATAAAAAGTAGGGTTAGATTTAAAAAAAATCCATCAAAATTTGCTACATTTTATGCAATGGAAGGATTTACATTGGTAAAGCAAGGAGCGGAGGCAAGATTATTTATTGGAGATTATCTAGGAAAACGAGCTATTGCCAAAGAGCGGTTTGAAAAGAAATACAGGGTGAGGGCATTGGATACTCAGCTTACTAAGGAGCGAATAAAGGCTGAATGTAGAGCAATAGTTAAGTGCAAGGCAGCGGGAATTTTAACACCGACGTTATATTTAGCGGACATGAAAAGAAAAATCATATTTATGGAATATTTAGAACACAGTATGACAGCCAAGGATTTTGTTGAATCAACTGGCTTAAGCGATATTACTAAAGATTTTTCCATTAAATTGGGCAATATTTTGGCAAGACTTCATAGTAATAATATTGTTCATGGAGATTTAACTTCATCAAATATATTGTTAGTCAACAAAAATAATATTAGTGCATTTGAGGTTCTAGAGAATTTTAATATTGCCCTTATTGATTTTGGATTGGCTAGTACTGATGCCAGTACAGAAGATAAAGGGGTGGACCTATATGTTCTTGAAAGGGCTTTGTTAAGTACACATGAAGCTGCAGAGTTTATGTTTCTTCATATTCTTGAAGGTTATAAGGCATATTATGCCAGTATAAAAAAGATGCACAATTATAAGGAGGTGTTTTTAAAATATGAGGATGTTAGAGCAAGGGGCAGAAAAAGAACAATGATTGGTTAAAATGTTGTTTATTTTATAATTACAATCTTGATGGCATACCACCTGCAGCAATGATACTTTCTCCTGTTATATATGCTCCATCATCAGAAGCCAACATTGCTGCTATACCACTAATATTATCAGGTACACCAAATCTAAAATTACACATTGTATTATCATTGATTAAGATGAACGGTATTATACTACATATAATATGTAAAACCATTTTCATATTGTTTATTGTTTCACATACCTGTTTAATGGTATTTGTGATAAAGCTATTTCTTCAGCTGGCCCAGTTGTAAGCTACAATTTTTAAGTTATTAAAACATTAGAAATAAAAATTTGTTACTTACAGTTGAGGAAAACTTTGTTTTAATTACACCTGGTGCAATACAATTTACAGTGATGTTTTCAGAGGCTAATTGTAGTGCAGCTGCTTTTGACAGACCCAACAGAGCTGTTTTGCTTACTGAATATGCCCCCAAAAGCTAAAACAGTATATGTATTAAAGTAATTGAATAAAAAACTGAAGAAAGTAGGTGTTCCTATGCCTACCCTGCAAATGCCTAGGCGGTAAAAAATATATGCTTTTTTAAAAGAGGGTGAGCACTGCAATAATTCGTTTGAATAAAAACTATAAAATTATAAAAATTCAACAACTTGTAGGTTAAGTAATTGGAATCATTCTGGATTTCCCCCAATTTTCTCTAAGAAAGTATCTAAGTTACACTGAAAAGTATTTAAGTTACTTTAAAAAGTTTCTTAGTTATTTTAAAAAGTATGTTAGTTACCTTAAAGTATCTAAGTTACTTGAATGTATCTTAGTTACTTTACTGAGTAACTTTGATACTTTTTAAGATACAAGTTACAAGATACTTTTCCTAAGTAAAACATACTTTCTGTCCAATATAAAAAGTATCCTCGAAATTTTTGGTTTGTTTGAATTTTGTTTTAATCCCGTTTTAGCATCTGTTAGGTAACATGAATGAAAACTATAAACTCCACGTCAAACAATAAACAAAAGAACACAATCATTGAATAAAAAATCAATCATTCAGCATTAAGTTTCATTTTATTTTCGGGTATGTTGGCATTACTGACACGGAATAAAGGAGGAATAAAAATTAACATTATCATTAAGAAGATAAAAGTTGGCCATCTCTTAATGTTAATGTTAACTTAATGTTAATTTGTGCTGCATAAATCCAGCATATCTTAGATTCTTAAGTATCTAAGTTACTTTTATAAAAGTAACTTAGATACTTACTTAAGTATCTAAGATATGCTGGATGGCCAACTTTTATCTTCTTAATGATAATGTTAATTTTTATTCCTCCTTTATTACGTGTCAGTAATGCAAATATGTATCTTTTTTTTCAAGATACTCCCAGCCCTGCATGCATATCAAAAATTAATAATTTTAAATGTCAAAATTTGCTGTTCACATTTTTAGTAGGTATTTTTTGCAGTCAGGTTGTGTATGAAGAAAAATAATAATAAATAATGAAAGCAATATATAATGTCTTCTTTTAGCCTGGAAAAATGTCACTTTACTGCATAGGTCTACAATATACTATTCTGCAACTTTAATGTTTTATTTCTTTCTTTATAATAATTTAAACTTTGTTTACATTCTAAAATCAGTTAATATTAAAATACCAATTAGGAGTATTCTAAATAATAAACTTTTTTACTAACGTTTATTTCCTGTGGTTTACAAATAATTTCATTAAGTTAACTTGCTTGTCACTGTCATTTATTATGTAGGTACAGTAGGGTGAAAAATCGAATATTTTTGTTTACTTCTGACACTAAAAAATTGTTTCTTAGGCACCTCTAGAAAGTGCTCAACAAATTTAAGCTCTTAATATTAATAGGAAAATCCTCCTCATTACAGTTTTCCATTTTTTCTTTCTTATAAAAAAGACCATATTTCATTATTAATCCATAATCATAATATAATCCATATAATATATAATTGTAGGGAATTGAATGCTCTACAAAAAAGGATCAATGTGTTTAAGCAATTACTCCAAACATTTAAAATATATTCAAGATCAAAGTTTCGGGAATTTATTAAAAAAAATTGTTTTTTAATAATTTTGCAACGCATTAAAAAACAATTATTGTCAAATGAGTATGAGTAGGAAATTTAAGAAAAAAGGTCCGATGTGTTTAATTGATTACTCCAACCGTTCAGAAGATATTCGCATCCGAATCCCAATGCGTACTGATATGAATATCTTTTCAACGGTTAGAGTAATCAATTAAACACATCAGACATTTTTGGTAGTGTTAAATTTCTTACAAAAATATGTCATATTCATTTGACAATAATTATTTTTCAATGAGTTACAAAATTATTAAAAAACAAAAAAAATTTAATACATTCTTCAAACTTTAATCTTATTATGAACATATAAGGGGCCGTTCATCAATTACTTGAGGTGTTTAGGGGGGGAGGGGGGGGTCTCGGCAAATATCACGTAATTTTTTTTTCGAAAGAAATAGTGTAAAATTGCGAGAAAACTGGGTTAAATTAAGTAAACAATTACAAGCAAATTGTTTTTTTTAATAAATCTAATGGAATCGAGCACAGATTAACTTATTTACATTAAATTTAAACCATGCATTTAAAAAAATCTCACGTGAGATTAAGGGGGGGAGAGGGGGTCGAGCAAAATCTCACGACATCTCACCAAGGGGAGGGGGGGGTCGAAAAATCGCCAAAATTGTCTCACGTAATTAATGAACGGCCCCTAAGTAAACATCAGTCCTTTTTTGTGGAGCATTTAATTTCCTACAAAAATATGTATAAATATTTGATTAATATGGTCTTAAGGGACTAAAGAAAAAATGGAAAACTGTGATGGGGAGGATTTTCCTATTAATATTAAGAGCTCAAATTTGGTGAGCACGGTGAAGGTGCCTAAGAACCAATTTTTCGGTGTCAAAAGTAAAAAAAGTATTTGATTTTTTTTAATCACCCTAATGTTCAGTCTTTAATCATTTTTTATATTGTTATAAGATTGCAATTTTTGTTAATGTATATATTGCTATGAAAATAATTAAGTTATTCAAGTACTGCTTTTAAAATGTTACATGGGAGAGTGGAAGATCGGCTTTGCCGAACTCCTGCCAATTGTGAAGGGTACGTTCTTTCTTTTCACAATAAACATTATTATTATTATATTGTAATTACATTTTTGCTACCTTTGTGGCGTAAATCACTGTTCTACCCACTTTTACCAAGCCATATATTACCATTTATAAATATATAAATGGTAAAATAAAAGAAACTTTGAAGATTGGATCAATTTAATATAAAAAAGCGTTGCGGATCGGCGTTGTCAGATGGCAGGACAGCAGTGACAATGTTTACTTCTCAATATATATAGTGGTTTAATTGTCGGGGAGAATGTGAAACCAAAGTTTAATGCCCATTAAATTTAACTTTGTTCAAATGAATTTCCATTAGGTAGGTATTTGTTTATTATTTGATTAGTTAAAAACAAATTAATTGTTAAATAAATATTTTATTCTAGAGGGTTTCGCAACAAAGTTTCCAATGTCAGCATACAAGAATAAAAAGGGTCTAAAACGTGAAGAAATTGGCCAGGAAGGAAATGAGTCAATTTATCTCAATCATGATATGACTCCGGAAAACCAGATGTTATTTAAACAAGCCAGAAATCTAAAAAATGAATTGAAATTTAAGTTTGCCTGGTTTAACTATGGTAAAATAATGCTCCGAGAAAAAGAGGACAGCAAAGTGTTTGAAATTGACAGCGAAGATATGTTAAATAAAATTAGAAAAACCCACTTGGAAAAAAACTAAAAATGAATTCTGACAACAAACTACTTGTACTTTATTTAAATATTCGTAGCATAAGAAATAAGGTTGAGGAAGTTGAAATTCTACTGCAGCAGTATAAACCAGATCTCCTAGTTCTAACAGAAACATGGCTATATGAGAACGAAGCTCCACACATGAAATTTAATAATTATAGTGGTATACACTCGGCTAGAAGTACAAAAAAAAGTCCTCGAGGGGCATCTATTTACGTCAAGGAATGCTATCCATATGAACTTGTTACTAATGAAAATCAGGAAAACAATATACTAGTGCTTAATTTCAAAGATTTTAACTTTAAAATGGGTGTTGTTTATAAAAGGCATGGATCAAAGATTGAAAATTTCTTGAATGACCTTGAAAAAATATTCTGTGAAAATAAAAAACTGTTACTTTTAGGTGATTTTAACATAAACTTATTGGAAAAAAAGTCGAACTCGTATCGATATAAAGAAAAAATGATGTATATGAAACTTCTTCATGAAAATGGATTAAATGTTGTTAATAAGATTACAGAAAAACATGCTACACGCATAGATGAAAGATGGGGATCTAAAACAATAATAGACCATGTTATTACAGATCTTCCCTTAAAAATTCCACTTAAATTACAAAATCAAAACATCACCGATCATAAAATGATGTCCTTCAATATTGATGTAACAAATATTCATTTGAATAAAGAAAAACAAAAATATACATCAAAGATAATAAACTATAAGAATCTGGAAAACAATATAAAAGACTATATTCACAACACAAACATAACAAGTTTTGACCAGCTTATCAAGATGTTAAATGAAAATATCAAAAGTAACACTGTACAAAAGGAAAGACAATATACAAAATCACTAAAAGAAGGTTGGTTTACTCAGGAAGTACTAAAAAAAGTAAAGGAAAGAGATAAAATGTATGTTAAAATGGTAAAATGTCCAACAAATGGAAAATATAAAATAGAGTTTAATATTCTAAAAAAAATGGTAAAGAAACTTATAAGGCATAACAAACAACAACACATAGCACACAAATTTGAAAGCACAGATGGGAGACCTAAGAAGCAATGGGACTGTATAAAAAAACTGATAGGTAAAAATGAGTCCAAAACAGGTTGCTCAAAGTTAATTATAAACAACGAAGAAATTACGGAACCCGAGAAAATTGCTGATGAAACAAATAAATATTTTATAGGATTAGTAAAAAACATCATTAAACCATCAAAAAACAAAGAGTGTACACTAAACCATAATTCAAATCAATCATTATACCTACAATATACTACAAAAGAGGAAATATTATCAATAATAAAAAAATTAAAAACAAATGCTAGTCCTGGACATGACCAAATAAAAGCCATAACGGTAAAAAAGCTTTCAAAAGTGCTTGTGCCTACACTAACAAAGTTAATCAACCAGCATCTCAAACTAGGAACGTTTCCAGATATCCTAAAGATTGCTCGTGTGACCCCTATCTACAAAAAAGGAAGTAAAACCAACTTAGCAAACTACAGGCCTATATCTGTGCTTTCAGTATTTTCTAAAATGTTTGAAATGGTCCTACAAAAAAGACTCATAAACTTTTTGAATGAAATCAACTTCTTAAGTTACCAACAAAATGGTTTTCAAGAAAAAAAAAGCACACAAACTGCGATAATAAATCTAACCGAAAATATCTATAAGAATCTAGAACATAGAAAAACAATCCTAGCTGTATTTCTTGACCTATGTAAAGCTTTTGATGTGGTTGATCCTGAAATTCTGTTAAAGAAGCTTGAGAAAATTGGAGTTGTAAATAGAGCCTTTAAAATACTAACTAATTACTTTCACAACCGGTTCCAATACACCAACATTGATAATAAAAATAGCAAGATGGAAAAAATTCTGTATGGAGTTCCACAAGGGTCAGTGTTAGGACCTCTACTGTTCCTAATCTACGTCAATGACATAACTAAATGTGACCTAAAAGGTGAATCAGTCCTATTTGCGGATGACACCGGACTTTTCTATTCCGGAAGTGAGGAGGAAGTGTTTGGTTGGGCCCAAAATGACCTAAATGTCATAAATGTGTGGACTAAAAAAAACAATATTAAACTCAATGAAACTAAGTGCAACTATCTAGTCATAAAAAATAGAAGAAACTGTGATAACTATTCGCTAAAATTAAATAATCAAATTTTGGATAGAGTGAATAGTGCAAAATATTTAGGTTTAATTATTGATGACAATCTTAGTTTTAGTAACCATATTCAAAGTCTTAAAGATAAAATTGGTAATCTAGGCTACTATCTTAGAAGAAATGCTTATTTAATTAACAACAAAACAAAATATTTAATATACAATGCATATATTAATTCCCACCTAACATATCTTCCAGCCTTTTGGGGGCATGCAGCAAAAAAGGACCTAAAGACTTTGCAAATAACTCAGAACAGACTTCTAAAACTTTTATTTAACAAACCTTATCGAACCAGTACTACAGATTTATATAATGAATTGAATATATTAAACATTAATGAGGAGATAATGTTGGACAGTGTTAAAGTAGTGTACAAAATCAAAAATAACCTGATAAATACAACAATTAACTTAACTAAAAACTGTGACAAACACACATATAATACTAGAACAAACGAAAACTACCACATAGATCCAAACACCACCAAATTTGGAGAAAGGAGAATAACGCAATCTGCCCTGAAGTGGTTCAACATACTCCCTGAGACAATCAAAAACCAAAGAACAATAGAAGCCTTCTCTACATCAGTTAAAAACTATTATATATCTGTAAGATAACACTGTGATAATTACAAGTACCTGAATGTTAAATTATATTAGACTTATACTGTATTTGTTATATATATATTTTATCTATGTTTTCTATTTATAGCACCTGTTATGGAATCTTGTATTCTTTTTGGGATATTAATAAATAAAAAAAAAAAAAAAAAAAAATATGGTTTAAAAAAAAGTTAAAATTTATTAATAATTAGGGGTCATCCATAAAGTATGTCACACTAGGGTGGAGGGGGGTCAAGAGTGTGCTATAATAATGCATGTTACGTGTGACATGGGGGAGGGGAGGGGGTCTGAAATTCCCTTAAAATGGGACATACTTTATGCATGGGGGCACAGGATAATCGCATAATAAGAATATTAAATTCAAGTATATAGGGGAGCGCCGGGAGGGTTTGGACACTGGGAGGCATTGGACACATTCATAATTACCGCCTAATTAAAGAAAGGGTGAAAACAGAAACGTAACTAAAAGCGCATTTGAACGTCCCTGATATATGTCTAGAAGCGAAGCAATCACGTCTTTTCGTTTCGCGGCACTGCCATTTTCCTATTTATCCACGTGTTCATTCCAATATTACCAGTTGTAAACTCTGCTTTTAACAAACTAATTTTGAGATTTTTTGGTTGCTTGATTGATTACCAGTATAAGGAAAACTTTAAAAATTATAGGGTATTGTTACTTTGAAAATGTATATACATAATTTATAATATTTTGGGTTTTATTAATCGAACTACGTTGCGGGAGGGTATGGACGACCGTCCAAAGAAGTCGTTGTAGATAGCTATAACGTGAAATTAAAAAAAAAACAAGTGGCTTCCAACCACAGCATTTGTGTCATATGAGGAAGTGATTTTGAAACTATCAAATCCTTTAACAGACTGAAGTGTGAGATATGGACATGATATATTTTAATGTTGATGTTACCGAGTACAGCTTACGTTAATGCTAAAGTTATTGATTAATAAACAATTTTTTATTAAATATTTTATTTGTTTTTAAAGTGTTTTTTGTCAAACAAATGTTTTTCATAATATATTTGCTTAATTATTGTTGTCCCCGTTGGGGAGGGTTTGGACATAATACATTAAAAAAAATATAAGTATTTATTTCATGCCTATGTCATGTTTTTTCAAAAAACAAAAGAAAACTGTATGTAAGAGACATGTATCAACCAGTCTGACTACAAAATTTTAGTTATTTTTTATACATGTCCACGCCATAATTATTTATTTAAATATTGTCCAAACCCTCCCGGCGCTCCCCTACTTACGTTAAATGGTTGAAATCCTGAAATAGAAGAGACAAAAATAATCCTTCCAGCCTTGCTCTGCCTCAACAAAGGCAGTGATTCTTTAGCTAATAAGAATGAGGCTTTAACATTTACATCAAATATTTTTTCCCATGACTCTTCGGTGGCCTAAAAATTTAAGTAGAGTAAAAACAATAAAAATATCATTTAAAATGTTTACATCTAGAACTCCACCAACTTCAGGATTGACAGCTGCATTTGATACAAGAATATCAAGACCACCCAATTTCTGAGCTTCTTGAAACAATTGGTTTCTGTGGTCACTTTTGCTAACATGGCACACTAGCCCTTTTACATTTAAACCCTTATTAGCCAATGATTTGACCGCCTTATCAACGTTGGCCTGTTTTCTGCTGCTTATAAGTACTTTGGCACCTTCCTGGGCAAGTCTTTGGGCAATGGCAAAACCAATACTATTTAAAAATATTTTTAAAAATTACCTAAGTAGGTACTGTTATATTATTAATTTTACCCTTCTGTGGAAGCGGTAACAATAGCTACCTTTCCTAAAAGTCTTTCACAAACAATTTTACTCATTTTGGGCGTTAAATAAGAATTTGCACTATTCAAACCTTGATTCCAGAGATAAATTCAAAGGTCAACAGTACACAATTGATAGGTTATGTTCTTACACTTAAATAAATAATTATAATTTTTTATAATTATTGTTTTATCATGAAACTTTGGACTAAATATTTATCTCAAGTTTTGATTTTAAATAGGTTGTAAATAATAATATTATATATAACATATTTTTTAATAAATTATCACGATTTGTTTGGGTTTTAAATCACGTGATACTTTATGATACAAAATAAAGAAATTGGTATAAAAATGAACCGGTGTTTTATCTTAATATATTATTATATATTATTTTCGCAATCATGTTTGTCAAATTGGGTTTTTATTAATAATTGCTACGCCCCTGTGTTGGATGCACTTCAACTATTCGACGATAGTCCGTTTTGCGCGTTTATTAAATAGGGTTTGTGCTTTCCCGATCAATAAAATTTCCGAATTTGTTTGTGTGAATTAACAATATTTTTTAATATCGAATCACGTGATGGCATTTCGAATTATTAGACAGGCGATGCCCTTGATTACGGCTCTGCACAAGCGACACTTTGCTTTTTTATTTGTAGTGAACCAAGTGACTTGTATAAGTGCAGAAATGTCTACACAAACCGGCGGAGATGCAAAAACTTCCACAAATGGGCTTCTTCTATATCAGAACTTGTACTCCTTTTACTCACAAAAGGTAAACATTTAAAAAATTATCGTGCCGTAACAGTTCTTTACAAATTAACCTTACTTTTTTATTTTTATTGGGCCTTTAGAACAATATTTTGTTGCATTTATAAATAGCGTTATCATGGAATTGTTTTATTTAGGTATACATTTTTTCGATTATTAATTTGTTTTTGAATTGACTAGGTATTTAAAAATTTAATTATTTAAATAAAAATACGTTAATAAAAAGGTTTTCATTTGGAATTCAAACTACAGCCAATTATTTAATAAAAAATATATTTATTTAGTTTTTTTATACTAAAATTTAACCATCAATTTTAAATTAAATAAGTTAATTTTAAAAAACAAACTTCGTTCAAAAACTCGCAAAAGTTTTACGAGAGGATATTTTGAAAACGGTTTTTTGTTAGAAATTTTGGTTAACTAATAAAGAGGTAGGGGGACAATTAAAACATATTTTTGACATCTACCCTCTCCATATTTTGAGGGGAAAAATTCGATTGTTTGTAAAAAACTAGGTACCTACTATGCTCCACACCTCAAAGTCTCACCACGTGACTACGTACGGAACGCAGTCAGTGTTGCCAACAGTCTGAAAGTAGTTTACGCCGAAGGCAAACTGAAAATCTGCTAAAAATCCGCCAGATTTAAAATTATTTTTGGAATAATAAAAAAATATATTGTATTTTCTTATTCTTTTTAGGTACTTAAAATTATTTTTCTTACTACCTCGACTCAAAATACGTTGTTTCGTCCCCGATTTCACGGCAGAAAGTTTACGTTTCTTGCATTGGTCAAGCTATACGCGCACACTCTAATAGCGGGAGTAAAAATTTTTTAGTCGTGTGCTTAACATTCAAATTTCGTACTGCCAACATGAGAAACACAAAAATATGACAGTTTTAAACCATAATTTTGCAATTTTAACAACAAATAAACAATTTATGTTTTTACTTTTTTACTTTTTATGTTGTTTTAAGTGTTTAATGGTACTTTTATTTGTTATAAAGTAGTAATTTGTTAATTAAAATACAACCTTTTATTTTTACTGTATTGGCACCGCTGAATTACCATGACAACGCTACAGTTTGATTGATTTTGAATGTAAACGTCAGAATTAAATTAAACGTCAGATTTTAATTTTGACACAAGTTTTTTTATATATATTTAATTTTTTCCCGTATTTTCTGCGGGGTAGCAAGAAAAATAGTATACACTACACGGGCAGAAAGTGTGAGAGCCCTGAACTGCGCGCCATGATGCCCTCGGCTTCGCCTCGGGCATCATGGCGCGCAGTGCAGGAATCTCACATTTTCTGCCCTTGTAGTGTAATATACTATTCCTCCCACAAAAATTTGCACATATTACGATGTTATACTTTTTAATTATTAATTGTCATTGGGTATACTTGTTGGACATTCTGTTAAAATTTTCATCTTTCATCTCCTCTTCTACAAACACTTTAATGGGATGTCTTTAACTAGAGATATAACTAGAGTTGGCGAAACTCGTAGAAATAAGGTATTTCAAATAACCTAGCAAAACTTATTAATGTTTGACATTTGACACTAGGAATTGTCGGTAAAACAGTGCGCATTAAGATAGTTTATCTTATTGCGCACTGTTTTACCGACAATTTCATTCGAAGTGTCAAATGTCAAACATTAATAAGTTTCGCCAACTCTTTAGAAACTTAGAACTAACTAAGTTATATTTTTTTAATACTTTTTTAGCGGTTTTTGCAACTGTTATCCGCCAGAAGTTTTAATACTTTCCGCTAAAAAATCCGCTATCCGCTAAAACCATTTTTTATCCGTCAAGTCAATTTTTTTCCGCCATATTTGACGGGAAAACCGCTGTGTTGGAAACACTGAACGCAGTATTCATGGAGCCTACACAAGGAGTCCGAACTGCATGTAAACAAGAATCTTCCCAAGGAAAGTAGGCGCTGGTGTCCCGTTTATTCTGAAACAATTGACTAATTTCTACCGAAACGCTACCAAAAGAGCAGACGTCAGGACGCATCAACAATCAGCGCCGCTGGTGGTGAAAAAAAAAGACTTAATTTGTGCAATTTAGAGGGCAGGTTTTGTCAATTTTCCCTATTAAGTTCGGGCTCCTTGTGTAGGCTCCATGGCAGTATTATTCTTCTTCAATCTGAACACAGATGCACTGTGTTCAGGGGTAATGACCTTTAGCTTAATTAAAAGCTATTTGGCCAGCTCATTATGTTTTTTGAATATTTAATTTGTTCAATTGTCTCAATTAAGAGACTCTGAGTACAACTCATCCCTTAAATCATTTATTTTAAATTATTATTGTTCATAGTTCATTTTAATATTAATTTATGTCTAATTTCTTTCACAAATTTCACTGTACCTACCACTTAAAAAAAATTTTTCACACTTGTTTTTCAATATATTCTTGTTTATTTATTAATATGTCCATCTTCTTTCTTCCTTTCTTTTCAATACATTTAACATTGTCCAAAATTACTAATCATCATACACAACATTACACTTTTACAATCATCCATATAATTCTCTTAACCATTAAAAATTTCGTACCACATGCACATATATTCTTTAATTATTTTAACCATCCATCGTGGAAATTATTCAGGAATCAATTAATCTATTGTAGATTTGTATAAAAATTTACTGACCAGTGTATTTTTGTACTGGGAGTCAGGGCCGGCAGCTTATCATTTTGACGTGTGGTAGCAGTGGTTAATGGTTGGGGGGTGTGGGTGTTCTTTTCCTTGGGGGTTGCGGGAAGGAGAACAAAATAAAATTGTAATAGTTTTTTAGTCAATTTATTTATCAAACTCAGTCACAGTTTTTTAACTTGGAAATATCTCGCGTAATAAGCACACTACTAATTTTAGCACTAATATATATTAGGGTGTGCCAAAAAAACTCGATATTTTTTTTTTCTTGCTCTCCACCCCAAATAATCGTAGAATATGTCCAAACAAATATTCTGTTAAAAGCGGAGCTCATAATTTCAATTTTAAGAGGTCCCTCATCGAATCTGAAGTTTTGCCGCTTAAATAGCACAGAAAACTGTCTTTTTTACCTTATTTATTCTTGCAACCTAGGAAGAAATTTTTTTTTCATAAAATCCATGACCAAATCTTACAAAGCATTAAATTTGGACGAAAAAATCTTATTAAGCCGAATTTCTATTTTCATTATTTGATTTTTTACAGAGCTTTAAATTTCAAATTTTACGTTTTTTGCCTTTTTCAGCTAAACTATTGAAGTTAGACAAAAAAGTCAAATGGCAATTTTTTAGCTTGTCTGATGGACCACATAAAAGTTTTAGGCGAATTTTTTGTATCGTCAATATTCTAAAAGTTACAGGCGTATAAAGTCATCATTTTTGTAATATTAACTTTAAATTTAAAGCTCTTTAAAAAAATCAAATAATGAAAATAGAAATTCGGCTTAATAAGATTTTTTTGCCCAAATTTAATGCTTTGTAAGAATTAGTCATGGATTTTATGAAAAAAAAATTCTTCCTAGGTTGCAAGAATAAATAAGGTATAAAAGTCAGTTTTCTGTGTAATTTAAGCGGCAAAACTTCAGATTCGATGAGGGACCTCTTAAAATTGAAATTATGAGCTCCGCTTTTAACAGAATATTTGTTTGGACATATTCTACGATATTTTGGGTGGAGAGCAAGAAAAAAAAAATATCGAGTTTTTTTGGCACACCCTAATATATATATCCCCCCCGGAATGATTAAATTTAGTTTATATAGTTTTTTCGACAGTGCTTAAAACTTACGTGAGAGACGTAAGTTGAAATACATTGAAACCAATGTAGGTAGCTGTTTACATTCGTATAAAACTTATCATACGTAACTTAACGTATTCAAAAGTTGGGTCCGGCTCAACTTAAGGGAATACGTTTCTTACGTGAGCCAATCACATGCCCAGTAAAACGATATAGCGCTATCTTGTTGTTTCACTTTTATAGATAGATAGGCACCCAGTCTTCATCGTTGTATACATTGCGCGTGGTTGTATATTATAATATACGTTCTTTGCGTGTATTAAGTTAATGTAAACAGACAACTTAACAGACGTAGGTTTCTTAAGTTAAGGGCGGGGTAAGGGTTTCACCGTAAAAAAAAAACAGTTTTTTGCGATTTTTTTTCTCAAATATGGATTGAGCAATTTCATTCGAACCTTTTGTACATTATTGAGCATACTTTTGAAAATGTTGTGTAATTTTTTCATGCAGAATTATTGAATCATAAGCCGGTAACAGAACTTCCCCCAGAACGTCTTGGGAAAAAAACAATTTGCGGTGTTCACCATAACTCGGCCGGAAATTATATGAAAATAAAAAACCATGAAAATTAGTTAAATTATAATCAAATCTTCCCCCCAACGTTCTCTGATAATTTTTTTTTCATTTAAAAATTTTTGGCGGCCATCAAAAGTGTGAACTGATATTTTCTACGAAAAATTCCGCAATTTTGCGGGTGGAAAACACCCTTAATGTAATAAAAAAAATTTAACTAAACGTTGGGGGGCGGTATTTTATATGTCGAAAATGTGTACAAAGTTTGAAATGAATCGGTCAAGTAGTTTTTAAATGGCAGTGAACACGGACTTTGAAAAAGTAGTTTTGAGAAAAACGCGTCTAAAGTTTATGAACTAAAAAAGTGAAGAAAAAATTTACACAGAATCGTCGATTCCAGCTCCATACAACAGACTTCCTGCGGCATTGTCGATGTCTTCAGCCTCTTTTCTCTCAAGTAGTATACATACAACTATAAAATATATCTTTATGGCTTTTATTACCTGCCCTTACTGAAGTTAAGTAAAAGCTCATTCACATCCACTTAATAAGCGTTACTTAACTAAACTTAACTTAAGAAACCTACGTACGCCTGTTAAGTTGTCTGTTTACACTAACTTAATACACGCAAAGAATGTATACATCGATATAGACTGGGTGCATATCTATCTATAAAGTTACGTGTGATAAGTTT